AATGCAATCTTAACCCCTTTCAATTTGAAATTTTTCATAAACATCTAATTTTTACTAAATTTCACTTAAAAAAAAAGTAAGGTTAATTCCTTACATCGGAGTTTTTTTTCAGAAACATCTGATTTTGCCCAATTTTGCTAATATATGCAAGGTTCACCCCGTACAATTTGAGATTTTTCATAAAAATCTCATTTTGCCCAATTTTGCTTAAAATGCCAGATTAACCCCTTTCAATCTGCAATTTTCCAGAAACATCTGATTTTGCCCTAATTTGGCAAAGGTTAACCCCTTACAATTTTTCATTTTTCATACAATTTTGCTAAAAATGCAAGGTGAACCCTTTACAATCTGAAATTTTTCATGAACACCTGGTTTTGCCGTATTTTGCTAAAGAAATGCAAGGTTAACCCCTAACAATTTGAAATTGTTCATGCACATTAAAATTTGCCCAATTTTACTAAAAAAGCAAGGTTAACCCCCTTACATCTGAAAGTTTTCAGAAACATCTGATTTTGCCCAATTTTGCTAAAAATGCAAGGTTCACCCCTTACAATTTGAGATTTTTCATAAAAATCTGATATTGCCCAGTTTTGCTAAAAATGCAAGGTTAACACCTTTCAATCTGCAATTTTCCAGAAACATCTGATTTTGCCCTAATTGGGCAAAGGTTTACCTCTTACAATTTTCGATTTTTCATACAAATCTGATTTTTCCCAATTTTGCTAAAACTGCGAGGTGAACCCCTTACAATCTGACATTTTTCATAAACACCTGATTTTGCCCTATTTTGCTAAAAAATGCAAGGTTCACCCCTTACAATTTGAGATTTTTCATAAACATTAAAATTTGCCCAATTTTACTAAAAAAGCAAGGTTAACCCCTTACAATTTGAAATTTTTTATTCACATCTTATTTTGCGAAATATTACTAAAAAAGCTAGGTTAACCCATTACAATCTGAAATTTTCCAGAAAGATCTGATTTTGCCCAATTTCGCTAAAAATACAAAGGTTCACCCCTTACAATTTGAGATTTTTCATATAAATCTGATATTGCCCAGTTATGCTAACAATGCCAAGTTAACCCCTTACAATCTGCAATTTTCAAGAAACATCTGATTTTTCCCAATTTCGCTTAAAAAAGCAAGGTTAACCCCTTTCAATCTGCAATTTTCCAGAAACATCTGATTTTGCCCTAATTTGGCAAGGTTAACCTCTTACAATATTTGATTTTTCATACAAATCTGATTTTGGCCTATTTTGCTAAAAAAATGTAAGGTTAACCACTGACAATTTGAAATTTTTCATAAACATTAAAATTTTCCCAATTTTACTAAAAAAGAAAGGTTAACCCCTTACAATTTGAAATTTTTCATACACATCTTATTTTGCCAAATTTTACTACAAAAGCAAGGTTAACCCCTTACAATCTGAAATTTTCCAGAAACATCTGATTTTTCCCTATTTTGCTAAAAATGTAAGGCTAACTCCTTGCAAACTGTTAAATCAATACATGAAGTGTCCCATTTGTCTTTTTTAAAACAAATTATTTTTCCAGTTTTTAGGGTGAAGGAATTTTCTCTTTTTCCTTTCTCTTTTATTGTTGCTATATTTTGCGAATTAACTCATTCGTATGGAATGCCCATAGTCAATCAAAGAATATTTCACACATAGGGGCCTAAATTATATATTTTTAAATTTAATAGAGACGCATTGATCGTGCTATCATATACCATTCTATTACTATTGCGAATTACTGTTTGGAATGCTCACAATTAAAGACACGTTATTTGAAAGATGTATAAATAATATTTATATAACAATGTACATCTTTATTCTTTCCCGGTATAATTTATGGCGTTTCTTACGTCAATTGGCAATCGCGTCATTATATAATGATAGTCAAATTGATCAAACGAAACTCCGTTTTGATTATAGTCAATCATGAAATATTCATTGATTTATGACATACACCATTGTTTCAATTTTAATACTACCCGTAGACCTGCCGAGCAGCTGTATATATTAAACTAAACCAAAGTATAAAAGATAGAGGGTAAAAAAAATCTAAAAGTTATGTGCTAGTCAAGCTTTCAGGGATCGGTCTGAGCCATAACAATGCCCCAGCCGATCCCTTAGTTCTCTTCCGGGGTCTCGGCGTCCCCGACCAATACACACTTCCTTCCCTATCCATCCATATAACCCCGGAGGGCCAGGCACCATGTAAAAGCAAAGAGCTAAGGGAGGAACAGGGCGGCCCCTAAGCCCTGATCCTCCGAGTGGACCACATGCCCTGAACCTGTACGAAGGCGCCAACCTGGAACTCGCGGACAGTACCAGCAGCAGTGCTTACCGATTAAGCTAAGGTACTGTTGGTACTTTACGACGGGAAATTAAATCTCTTATAGTAAATGATTGAACTCATACGTTAAAAACCAAAAAGACACCAGCGGGATTCGAACCCGGGACCCCGCTAACCGTGGACGACGAATCGTAACCACTAGGCCATTTCGTTACCTTAGAATTTTCCTTAAACTAAGAAAAGTTGTCTTTATAGGTGAGCAAACGCGCCAGGAAGATTACTGGGTCCATTTGCTTTACCTTAATGGGAAAAACAAGTCGATATAATGAGCCGAGTGTGTTTGGTTTGTTAGGAAGCTGCATAACACAGCCTAATGTGCAAAACAGTCGTGTGCTAGGCGGATCATTACGCAACAATGAACACCGCAATTGTGTATTTTCAAAAGGCAGACGCGTAGATTTCTACTCTTTGTATCTGGGCACATATAGATTCTCACCTTGCTCTTCAGCTATTTCGACTTTCTTAAAAAGAAAAATAGAGACTGTCAGCGAATATCCGGGAGTTGAAATAAGGATCGTCCCCTCGATAGACCTCAGACTCAGTAAAGTTCAACATTGGGCTCTTTTTCAACAGCTGTTTTTGCGGAAACTTTACATCTGGATTTTTTAGAAGCATGTGATTTTGCCCAATTTTAGTAAAATATGCTCCAAATTTTTCTAAAAAAGCAAGATTAACCCCTTACCATTTTAGATTTTCATACAAATCTGATTTTGCCAAATTTTACTAAATATACAAGGTACACCTCTTACAATTTAAAATTTTTCATAAACATTTCTTTTTGCCCAATTTTGCTAAAAAAACAAGGTTATAAGCCCTAACAATCTGCAATTTTCCAGAATCATCTGATTGTGTCCTAATTTGCCCAAAAAAATATGCAAGGTTAACCCCTTACAATTTGAATTTTTTTCATGAACATCTAATTTTTCCCAATCTTATTCAAAAAGCAAGGTTAACCCCTTGCAATCTGCAACTTTCCAGAAACATTTGATTTTTTCCCATTTTCGCTTAAAAAAAATGCGAGGTTAACCCCTTTCATTTTGAAATTTTTCGTAACATCTAACTTTGCAAAATTTCACTAAAAAAGCAAGGTTTATCCCTTACATCTGAAAGTTTTCGGAAACATCTGATTTTGCCCAATTTCGCTAAAATATGCAATGTTCACCCCTTACAATTTGAAATGTTTCATAAACATCTAACCCCATACAATCTGCAATTTTCCAGAAACATCTGATTTTTCCCGATTTTGCTAACAAAATGAAAGGTTAACCCCTTACAATTTGATTTTTTTTTTCATAAACATCTAATTTTGCCCAATTTTACATCAGCTTATGCTAACAAATTATCAGGTAACTGGATCATTAAACGGGACCGGTGCACATCGGCCTTGGAGCTCAGACCATGTGTCATGCACTCCTCAATGGATAGATGATGCACATAGCACTATGGGTAGTACAGACACAGCTGGGGGTACTGCCCAAACAATGATGAACGCATTGCGTATGCTTAAAGAATTACCCACAATTTCGGTTTTTACCGTTTAGGTCTGGCTCTAATCACTTTACGCGATCCCCTGACGTCTCATACACTGACTTTAGGCAAAATAGTCAGACTTTCGCGGTCTAGTAACCAGACTTTGACTCTTAACGAAACATCGAATGAAAAGGGAAACATCAAATGCATATTGCAAAAGATCGAATGCAAACATACCTATGAAACATCGAATACAAATAGCTCGAAATGTCAAACATATGTGTAAAACATTGCTCACATATTTGAGAATATCGCAAATATATTGTAAAACAACACACACAATTGTATCGAAAAACATCGCACATTTAATGCAAAAAAATCGAACATAATATTGAAAACATCGCACATATATATCGTCAAAAACATCGCACATATAAATTGAAAATCGCATATAAATGTAAAACATCGCACACATAATTATATTGAACATCGCACATATATTGTAAAACATCGCTCAAATATATTAAACATCGCGCAAATAATGAAAAACATCGCATTCTTATATTGAACATCGCACATAAATGTAAAAGATAACAAACACATATTGAACATCCAACATATATATTGCAAAATATTGAATATTGCAATGTTTGACACGCCATACTATGCAACTAAAGCAACTCTTTTAATTTCCCGTGTTTACATATTATTACATGTAAATAGTAGTTCCATCCAAACTGGTTCAGAGAGGCCTACAATCGTGCATGGCAATCTTTTGGTTCTGAAAAATATGTGTATCAATTTTTTTGTTTGTTTAAAACTGTTGTACAAAAAAACAGGACTGTTCTCAGGATTATCATTATACTAAAACCGAGGAGTTTGTACACAAAAAAAGTGGCCGGGGGGGGGGGGTACCCTGTCGGACCGGACCCTACTTGCAGCCTGCTTGGCTCTGTTAAATATTACTGCTGTTGTTTTTTTTTCTTATTTACTGCCAGAAAGTGTTTTAAAGCGCGAAATCGCTAAATGGAATCTCTTCTTTCGTGTGTTTCCTTCTATGATCGGAAATTTCTTTCGTGTGTTTCCTGCCGGATCGGACACTTTTCTTGTTTTGGACTGCCTCAAACCCGCGGCCGCGCCGCAGCAGCAGAGCCATAAAATAGGGAAAGCGCCCTCTATTGCTAGCTCTAGCAACATCCATCCCAACGTGATTCTGCATGTTTTGGAGAAAGAGGTGAAGGGGCCATCACACAGTAAAGAAAATATCTCTTTGACTTTATAAATGATTTTAAATCAATCACAAGAATCATGAGTTCGATCGGCACTGGGGTGAGTATATTAAAGTTAACAAAAAGGAGAAATAATAGAAGAATTCCTGTTTATTGGGCAAATATAATTTTAACAAACGACGGCCATTTTGAGTTGTTCGTTTTGTTTGTCGTCTGCTGTTGTCCATGTTGTGCGTGTGTTGGATGGGGGTGTGGCGGGGAGGTTGGGGGGGGGGGGGTAGAATGAAAGCCCCTGGCGCAAGCTTTTTCTTTCCCCTGTAAGCAAGGAGGTAGGAATACATGCTGTAACTTGTAAGTTACCTCAGTGATTGTTGTCTACAGCAAACTTGGCTGGAATTTTCTAAAAAGTTTCCGAATAAATTTTTGACATTTGTTTTTTGTAATGAAGGCCACACCTGGAACATAATGCCTACCTGACATGCCTGAAAATGTAGATCTTTGTCAAATTTAGATTTAGAAACATACTCACCCTCTTTATACTTAATTATAGCGATTGAACGGAAGTCCGGCATTTTTCAGACGTCTACTTTTCATGTAATTTCGTGTTCGAATGTTATGTATGTTATCTTTTACTGACTATCTGTAGACTTTGTACGCAACTACCAAAGTGACATCAGAATGTACTACTACATTTTTGGGGGTACATGTGTGTTATGGCCTCTTGTGTTTTAAACTGATATTTTTTTTTCTACATCTTTGAATGCAGTATGACCTGTCAGCGTCACAGTTCTCTCCAGATGGGAGAGTGTTTCAGGTGGAATATGCGATCAAAGCCGTTGAGAACAGCGGAACGGCAATCGGTCTGCGCTGTAAGGACGGTGTAGTCTTTGGAGTGGAGAAACTGGTCACGTCCAAGCTGTACGAGATGGGATCCAACAAGAGAATATTCAATGCTGATAGACACGTTGGAGTGGTGAGTCGGAAGGAACAGTTTTTAAGCTCTGGCAACAGAGCTTCTATTTCTTTAATTTAATAAAAAGTCACTTTGGTGTCGGTTGGTCTGTCGATAGGTTGGTCAGTCGGTCCCCAAAAAATTGACCAAAAACAAACCCCTTAAGTATCCCATAAAACTGTAAGTACCAAATTTTGACTGTCGACAAATAACAAACAAAATACATTAAACATTTGACAATAATTGTTTGTAGCAATTCGTGGCGTTGTTTGTGAACATTTTGTACATGGAGGCAAGATAATGTGTGGTAATGTTAGTCACGTGGTATGTAATGCGCTAGGAACTAAGGGCTTCAACACACCTGTGACTATACATCGCCCCTGCCTCTGGCCCTATGTCAATTTTTGGAGTCTTCAGGGCGTATGGGTGAGGAAAGAGTTGCATTATGAACGCCACTATTATTTTGCGTTGTTACTTTCAACTGACAATCACGACCAAGTGAGTAATTGTATCATTTCATGCAAGACTTTCATGCGAGATGGCCAGAGCTTATTTTACAATCGCACTTGTTTTTGTAATTAACATTAGGAATATGTGTAGTCATAATGTGTTACTGGTTTGTTGGAAAAGCATCAGCGCAAAGAGAATCAGTTGAAACACAAGAATGTTATCTTAAAGTCTCAAGTTTACAAAAAAAGGGCTGGTAGATTCAAGACGCTAGGGTTGAGGTTCATGACTCATGATCAGAGAGTCAGGGGTTCGAATTCAGCTGTTGGCCATGTATTGTGTCCTTGGGCAAGCCACTTCACCCATACTTGCCTCTCTGCACCCAGTAGTACATGTATAAATTGGTACCGGCATTAGCTGGGGAGTAACCTGCGATGGACTGGCATCCCATCCAGGGGGGAGTAGAAGTATTCTCAGTCGTTTCAAGCCAAAGAAACTGGAAATAAATGCTGGCCTGATGGGCCATATTGGCTTGTGAAAGACTTAACTTTTTTGTACTTAAATATTCATCAAAATTATTCAGAGCGATTATGTTCACTGACTTTAATTTGAAATCATAAATTGGCCTGTAAGCATGCTAAGCCAAGGAATTTCAGCATAGCACAAATGAAGTTGCACAGAAGTTGAACAGAGACTGTCAAGATTAAAGACAAGAACGTAAGGGAATACTCATGCAACGTAAACATTTAGGCCAGTTGCCCATATTTCAGTAGAATGTTAATTAAAAAATTTGAAATCAACACTTGATGATCTTCATTTTTTTTTTTATCTCTGTAGGCTGTTGCAGGACTCCTTGCAGATGCCAGGCAGGTAAGGAAATATCATTTCAAAAGATATTCATTCTTATTCCACTTATTCCAGTACCAGCAAACCTATCAAGTTTTCTTGACAGGGATATTTTAATTCTCAGTACCACAGATATCTTAAAGATGAGTCAAGAACCTGAAACATACATGTAATGGACATACTGATGTAAATGTCAACTGTAAATGTCAACTTAATACACTATGCACAAGACAATGAATATAAAGAACTGTCGATTTCTGTATTATTGTTATTGTTATTAATTATTTTTGGTAATGAAATAAAGCATTCCTCTGAAGCACCCTAAGCAGTGTATCTCGCAAGCCTGAAGAATTCCGTAGAGAGAAGACAAAAGATAATGTTCCATTGAAGTGCGACAAATGGTTCTCTTCCCTAATTTCCGCTAACTGTCTTTGCAACTCTGCCTATGTAGTTCTGCCTCATTTTGCCAGAACGCCATACATATAGCAGATTCTACATCTTGCATACATGTACATGATTTAAGACCTTTGTCTCTGCATTTATTCACAACAGCTTGTTGAGACAGCCAGGGACGAGGCATCAGACTACAGAGCATCATACGGAGGACCCATCCCACTCAAGGTAAGAAAGACTGTCCAAGATATAACACCTGTCTTTGTTAGTGTACATGGGAGAATGAAGGTCGTTTCCTTCGCGTTTTATGATACCGTGTCCCTGTTTCTTATTAACTCGCTCAAGACTTTCTAGGACCTTTCACACTTTCTAGAAACTCTGTGTTGGACCCGGGTTCAACATGGAGATTTCGGAAGCCCGGTTCACACTAGCCAGAATCCAACACGGCTTAGACTTAAATCCAGCGCTCTACACCAGTAAAATGCAACCCTGGTCGGGACCAGAGTTGAGAGACTCTACCCAAGGGTAGAAAATCCAAAATCTACAGCCGACCCGTGTACACAACGGTGTAAGTGTGAACGCTCAGTGTTGCGTACCCGTGTTGGATGGGACCGGGTTCTGCTTGTGATGGACCGATGGTGTGAAAATGCCTTCTGTTGTGACTTTGTGAGAAAAACTTGTTGTCAGAACTACACATTGCAGTCATTCAAATATTACACGTCACTTGTTTGTTTTCTCATACGTGACATCATTCTAATGGAGGTTTCCTCTTTCCTGAGTGTCCACCTGTTATAATCTGCTGTTGCTGTTCTGCCATTTAATCATCATCATCTTTATACGCAAGGCATTTAAAAACAAATTGTTTAAACTTATTTTTAATTTGTGTTCTCTTCTGGTTGCAGTATTTAGCAGAGAGAGTGGCTATGTATGCACATACTTACACCTTGTACAGTGCTGTGCGGCCGTTTGGTTGTAGGTGAGTTTGCTTTCTATCCTTTAGTCCCTTGGTGTTGCTTCCAAGAACCTCCATGAATCGTCCCAAAAATGATATCTCACTGACCCTACTTTTTGGCTCTTTGGGGGAGGGGGGCAAAGAAAAAGGACGTTCATGTTTATGCATTAACAGCTGAGTATTAAAGATTACCAGCCTTTGTGAAAATTCCCTTTGTGGGAGAGTGTGGTCCGGTGGTTAGGGTTTGTGACTCATGATCATAGGGTCAGGGGTTCGAATCCAGCTGCTGGCCGTACGTTGTGTCCTTGGGCAAGCCACTTCACCCGAACTTGCCTCTCTCCATCCAGGGGTTTAAATGGGTACTGGCATTAGCTGGGGAGTAACCTGCGATGGACTGGCATCCCATCCAGGGGGGGGGGGGGGGGATAAAAAATATTCTCAGTTGTTTCATGCCAAGGAAAATCGGAGATATTAAATGACAGCCTGATTGGCCATATTGGCTTGTTGCAGACTTTACTTTTGAAAATGAATAGTTTATTTGACCTACTTTTATGCCTCTACTTGTATGCCTCTATATTCAAGGGCCAGACATGTTATTGGATCTCTTTGTGAAAGTGTAAAAGGCAGTGATTGAGATGTCACCTAACCCTCCTATGGAAATGCGCATTCTGAACCTTGCTACTACATGGGTCAAAATCGGTCAAGTGACCATTGGTGACCCATTGAAAAACTGTGCATAGAAGTATAGGATTGACCAGTTGCGACTGCTAAAGTGTCTAACCATGAGAATGATTTGACCAGCTATGACCTGTTGAATAGTGGTTGATGCTGGCCATTTGCTGACCGATATTGACTTTTTAAAAAATCATCCAAGAGTTGAAAGGTGCAGTTAAGTGATGGTATTGACTGACTAGAACAAGTGACCGATGGTGTCTTGATAAAAAAAAACATTCCCCCCCCCCCCCCCCCGGCTTTGTTTGCAATCCCTGGGTCAACAAACTTTGCCATTGTTTGTTGAATATAAAATGGGATGTCCCATTGTGCTACAGGACTGCCTGGTCAAAAAAGCATTGTATGGCAAAACTAATAGAAATTCATATTATTGTTATTATCTGAACACCCCCCTCCACAAAGAAAATCAAATATCAACATCCTATAAAAGCCTAGCAACTATCCTCTCATGCATATAATGAGTAACATGTGGTACCTGTGAAAGGCCGTCCCAAGAGTCAAAACTGGTTGACCGATTTTGACCCACCAATGTACTAATCACATACATTATCTGACCATTGGTGACCAGCCTGTGTTAAAAGTACGTTTGTGACCTCTTAAATAACAGGAGGGTTAGCTAATGGCATTATTAATAATGCACTATAGAATTAATTAAGATTTGCTTACAGAAAAAAGTCAGAATACAGTACAGTGTTTGTGAGCAAAACACTGAAACTGATATTTCTTTCGTTTTTCCCCCCCAGTATTCTGTTGGGGTCATACCAAGAAAACACACCTCAGATGTACATGATCGATCCATCTGGAGTAACCTGGGTAAGAAAACGTTTTACACTTTTGGTATGGTTTGACTAAATCAATCCCTTCAAAACCTGAAGCTTTTAGCCCTGGCATATGTGATGCGATCAAGCTACATGAGTCGTTTGTCCACCCGGTCAATTTTTTTTTATTACAGATTTGAAAAGAGCACAATCTCAGCATTACTGCTGTGAAAACCGCATGCTGATACCATCTTTAGTTAAAAAATTATGAAGTTGGAACACCAAAAGATGTGATGCAGTGATGTGATGAAGTGGCCCTATTTTGGCCTGTACCTCCAAATAAATATTCCCGACAAACGACTCATTTAGCTTGATCGCATCACATATGTACTATGTTTTTTTTTTTTAAAGTACTTGTACACCCTCAACGATGACAAAGGGAGAGATACGACAGACGCTTGAATTGAATATGCCAAAAATTGGGCTCAAGAAATTGTGAACCTTTGAACAAAATGGCTACTGTTATGCCATATGAGCATGAATCGTTCAGGCCGTGCATTGCGACCTGCACTATGGACTCCTCCATGCAAAAATAGTAGATCGTGCTTTGTGACCACTTTTGAGACCCCAGTGGGAGACACACACCACGTGTGCGAATGATCTGATACACCGTGCCCTCTAGAGACATGCACACAGTAGGGAACAAAAGATTGTATACGTCTCCATAGGGCAATTTCTATAGGTGAATACGTCTCCACAAGGTTATCACGAAATAGATATATGGAGTTTACTCAAAAACTAGGAATTGCCAAGGTGTGTTGATGTGTCGCAAATTGAAGTATTTTCTGTAAGGGATATTAAGTCCGAATTTCAGCCCAGGAAATTAATTCTGGTTAAAATAGGAGTATTTTGAAAGTACACTTTCAAACTCGAAAATTTTAGTACACGAGAACAGAGAAATGTCTCCACAAGGATACAAATTTCAGTATGTGTGTATGGCAAGTACACATGACTAACTCTGATACGGGTGTGCACTAACATGTAGCATCTGCTGGACTGTCGAGTGTCTTCAGCGGTGCTTTGGAATGTCCCAGTAGTCTCCACCAACTCTCTCTTCTTAACCCTTGAGAAGGTATTCGTGCACGGATAGTCCATACACAGCATCATCTCCTGATCCTGAACATTAAGAGTCCATTAAAGCTATAGTCCATCATTTGTAATTAGTGCATTTTGTTCGTTTGAAGCAACAAAAGTGTTCAAAATCTAATGAAGGATACTGAGCAACTAACCTGATGAAGTTTCAGCTAAGCTTCAGCTGTACATTCCGAGAAAAGCAGCATTCTAAGATTTCAATTTCAAATCAAAAGTTACTGAATCATGTTTTGAATTGTTTTGAATTGCAGCTATACGCGGCGTCGCGCACTGATCCGACGAATTATAACAACCGCGCGCGCGTGTGCGTCGTTCCAATACTTGTGCGCGCTGCGCTGAATAACAAAACGAACTACTAATTTAAATTTTCCTATGGTGCTTCTTAAGAATCACCGTTGGAAATGCCTTCTTTCGTTGATTACTTCAAAATGACAGCTTCCCAGAAAGAATAATTTCACAGGGAGTTTAGTTCCCTTACTATCTTTCAACCTAGTTTGTTTTTCAACAGTAATTACGCCAGTTACTTTCGGATGGCTGCAAATGATGGACTATAGCTTTAAGAGTTAACTTGTTGCACTACTAGACACACGCAAACGTGCACCGTCGATCGTGGACGTCCTATTGTCCCTCTTTTGTTTGTACTCTAACTTTTGAGGAAACTCCCATAGGTTTTGTACACGACCCTAACCGCGGACGTATGCTGGGAATCATGGACAATATTGTTCCCTTTTGTTCTCTGGTAGTTTTCCTCCACGGTTTGAAAAGATGAACATGTACACTGGTACATATACATTTGTTGGTTATTTTTCCTCTGTAGGGCTACCATGGCTGCGCAATAGGCAAAGCCAAGCAGGCAGCTAAGACGGAGATAGAGAAACTCCTAACCATAGACAAACACGTCAAAGACATGTCGTGCAGGGAGGCAGTCAAAGAGGTTGCCAAAATGTAAGTTTATTGAGATATTCTATTTTTATGTGATATATAGTGGTTTTTTTTGGTAGAGCACACACACTTGTTCCTGCGTTTTTGGGACAAAAGACATACAAATACCCAACAAGCTTGGCCCAAATTTTCTGAACAATAGAATACTCCCCCAAAACACAGTTCTTGCCAGGGGTGATTTTCCTGCTATGCAATAGAACATTTTCATATTGTGGCCATCTTGCTTTATTCCCCATTCAAATCAATGTAACCAAAGAGAGGCTGGAAGGAAAAATAGTCTGGTTCCTTTTTGCACCAAAAACATTATTATTAAGTACCGTTGTTGGATACAGGGAACATGACTGAAATGGTGTAACATGATAAAGGTCTATATACTCATTAGTTGCAGTGACACCAACTTCAAGATGGCCTTTGCTATAGCATTTTTTTTATTTAAGTCAAAAATGTATTGTTGGAAAATTTGTATATGAACCCTTAAAATGAAATTATGTGTCCCATTCCACCTTCATTTTCTGTTATTGCTTTGCCATGTTTAAGGGTATTTCTGGGCCCTTTGTTGCTCACATCGATGTCCAAAATGTTCAGTAAAATATGTCAGCTTCGGTGTTACTTGCGCTGTTTTGGCATTAAATGTTCTAGGAGTAATTAGTTGGTTTCTTTTCTCTACTTGCAGCATTCACATTGTACACGACGAAATCAAAGACAAGAGTTTTGAGCTGGAGCTGAGCTGGGTCGGTGAGATGACCAACGGTCGACACGAGTTCGTCCCGGAAGATGTGGCTCAAGAAGCCTTCAAATTTGGAAAGGTAGGTTGACACTAACCAGCCAAGTTTGAGCGCGAATCGTGCTTATGTACCTAAAGTTCGTCTCACTTTCATTGAATTCAGGATGGTTGCACTACTCTAGTCAACTAGTCCGAAGGACGAAGCAATACTAGTTAAGTGTCTTGCTTAACGACACAGGTGTCAAGACCAGGACTCGAACCCACTCTCTGCTGATCAGAAACAGCAGAGCTTGAGTCCGGGGCTCTTAAACGCTCGGTCATGACACTCCACATCCACTTCTGGGTGTCTTATTCTTGTGGGGAAGACCTAGGGGACCAAAGTATTCTTGAAATACAAGGACGAAGCAATGCTAGTTAAGTGTCTTGCTTAAGGACACAAGTGTCAAGACCAGGACTCGAACCCACACTCTGCTGATCAGAAACATTACGCAGCTTGAGTCCGGGGCTCTTAAACGCTCGGTCATGACACTCCACACCCACTTCTGGGCGTCTTATTCTTGTGGGGAAGACCTAAGGGACCAAAGTTTGTTCCTGAAATATAAGTAGAAATGTTCAAACAGAGGAGAGACTTGGAGTTGTGATATGCTTAATTTTGAAATTCTTTCATGTTTCTTCTTTTCTCCTCTTAACAGGATTCATTAGAGGAGTCATCCAGCTCTGAAGATGAAGACATTTAGGAGACGATGTTAGACATCATGCAATTTTCCATAATCAGAGAGCTCTCTTCTCCCTTGGGTTTCAGTGGAACTCTTAGAAAAAAAAGACCCGGTGCACATAGCTTTTCAAAAGGAGTACTACATGTATGTCTAGTCTCATTTATTTCTCACTTCTACTGTGGAACACAGTTGATAAAATTTTGAAGGAAAAATCCCCCAAATCCACAAAAGATGTCGCTGTTTAAATTAAAAACTTCCCCCCGGAATTCAGTTGAGTCAGAGATGCCACCAATATACATTTGTATCAATAAATTGCCTGAAACACTACTAAAAAACCTGAAACAACCCTTACCCCCTTTCAAAAATGTGTTTTCTGGATGTTTCAGACCAAATCCAGCACTTTAATTTGTCACATTTTTTGAAAAACAAACAAACCTGAATTCAGGTTAAACTTAAAGCCTAAAAAGTGGCATCTCTGTCAAGTAGACACTTTTGTCCATTTTGACAACGCTGCCTTACATCCAAAGAGCTATATTAAACTGCTAGAGCGCTAACTCGATGTACAAAGTAATGCCCGACGGGCGCATCCATGTTTGCACTCGAACCTATGGAGAACTGGAAATTTTGTACGTATTTTGTACGCCTATTTGCATATCTGCATTTGTATTCCATACCGGTGCGTTATCGAAGCCGATACGCCAAAAACCGAAACGCACGATCAGCAAATGAGCTTGTCATTTTGCTCTACGCAAATAGCGTAACGCGTGCACGTATTCGCTGCAGAGGCTTTTTGCCGTGACATTTTTTGAACATTCATGACGCGTTTAAGTTGTTTGCGCATGTTCTGCTTATTGCGTGTTGCATGTAGAGTACACTTTCAAAATTCAATCCATCTAATTTCATTACATGTATGTTCTACAAACAAGCACATGAATTCAAAATATCTGCGCCTAGGTCGGTTTCAAAGCGTCTCCGTGCACAAGAATGAGGAGTTAGCGCTCTAGTAATTTAATATAGCAAGCCCTGTTTGTGCTACAAAGTGTTCCTAAACTCATTCAGTTCACGATGTGGATATTATATGTGAGGTTTTGCAAGTATGTACATTTCCATTCTGCAGCTTGCAGATCCTCTCCCCATCATACAGTGTGTAAAACCAATATTTCCAAAATGTAAACACAAGTTGCAAAAACTTGGTTTTGTTTTCAATAAATTCACAATGATTTCTTTAAAATAAAATGCGTTGATCTCTTAGTTTGAATTATTTGTGTCCATTATTCACCACTGTTCAAATCTGTGAAGCTGCCAAAAAGAAAATTTAGATTCATAGCGCAGCACATCTTCCACTTGTAACATTAATTTTTTTTATGTATTGAGGACTGAAAACTCTGAACAAAGCTTTACAAAAAAAGGATGTATTGAAATTGTTAGTAAAATGGATTAAAGTTCTTAAAAACACCAACTTTCCACAAAATTTTGCGTGTTATATTAAAAGACGGGGTCATCTATATATGTAATTATGTTACTGTGACCAGTCAGAATCACAATTTATTGGCTACATTATACTTTCCACACGCCTACATGTACCACATAATCAAGCCTCTTCACTTAAAAATAAAAGGAAATAAATACATGCATAAACGGCTGTTCTTAAAAAAATACATAATGAATGACCTATACAAGTTACAGTGCCATGATCATCACAAAAGATAAAAAATGTTTTACGCCCTTTTCCCCAAAATCAATTCAACGGCTTGGCGCAGGGAGAGCACTTGAAAATTAACTATTTGTGAGTCATCTCCATGGCAACTGAGTTTAATTTCCAATTACATTGTATCTAACCAGAGAAACACTTACAAATGAAGTTGTCATGGCCAAAGCATCTCATAAAAAAACCCAGCCTTTTCAAAACTTCCCAAGCAATTATGCTCTCTGTACATAAACTAATGATGTTACAAAGTCTACCAGAATAGGAAGATAAATTATTACAAAGACATATTTCATAAAAAAAAGAGATGAACTTGTACAATTAAAATCTGTAATTTACTCATTTCTCCCACCACTCACACAGGTTTTCGTAACCCTAAACATACCAAATGTGTTACAATCCCAAAACCTGATGTGTTTTACCGGTATTTTGATGGAACCCTAACCCCTAGTAGTTCCTCAGGACTACCCTGCTGAATCTAACAGAGTCCAACTGGACTTTCTTGCTAAATCCACTGTGCCTCATTTTTAGTTGTCTGCTGAAACCAACGGAGTCCAACTTGGCATTATAATGCGGTTCAGTTGCCTGCTGAATCCAACATATTGCATGAGGAATGTACACAAGAAGTTAACTGCTCAATCCAACAGGCTCCATCAAATATATGACATAGTTGGATCCTGTTGGATTCGGCAGGGTTAGGGTTAACTCTATTCCAAAATCCTCCCAAATCATCTTTGCAAAATGAAGGTTTTTTGCAGGATTGAGGCTCTGTAGAAAAATGTGAGGCTGATTTTGGAGGATGCACTGTGTTATGTCAAGGTTTTGGCAATATGTTGAGGCTTGGCCAGTGACATCCTGGAGCAGTACGGAGGATTTCAAGCATAATCCAGGCCTATACATGTATTTATTCATGGCTGAGCAAAAACAACGCAGTGTCCGACCCAGGATCAGTAACGCACTTTTGCCATGTGCACATGTAACCCCAATCCTCCAAATTCCTCCACTTTGGCACAGAGGATTTTGAAGGATTCAGAGCGGTTACCGTAGTGTAAAAATTTAGAAAGACAACTTCTCAAAGTAAAGGGCTTCAACTGAACCATTCCTAAACACACCCACATTATCAACAAGGAATAAGAAAGCTATGGACAACAGAGTATACATGTATTTTTAAATACAAAATGAGACCGTGTAAAAGTTTCAACTTCATGCAATTCATGTGGTTTTAGTTTTAGCACGAATCACTGAGGAGGTTTTCTCTCCTGAAATCTTGATTATTTCTCCATAAAAGCTGACGATTAGTCACAAAATAAAAAAAAAGGCATATGATGGCCACTTTTGGCTGCCAAGAGCCCAACACAGACAGAAGACAGAAATGAAGAAGTTGAGATAGTTGACTACATTTTGTAGATCGTCTGTTCTGTTGGTCAAAGGTCATCCTGTGCCCAAAAGTTGCCCTGTGTCCAATGTGACCTTTGACCTTGCTTCTATCTCACAACACTAGCGCCTCAACTTCACTGTGCGGTTGAACATCCGTTAGGTAGCCGCTGCCTGTCCCATCTGCGCTGTTTCTTGCACCGATGATGCTGCATCATCTGATGATCCAAACAAATAGCCCAGATAAGTGACGATCATCATAATGTGGGAGGGGAGGTACAGGTAGGTGGTGTAGGCAGCCGTGCAAAACACTATCAATACTGTTGTATCTGAGGAAAGATGGTTAAGGACAATCGATAATTTTTGTGTGTGAAAAATTAGGAAACACTAAATATTGTTATGCCCCAACTATAGTATCGGTCCCAACCATAATTGGGAAAGTCCCAGTCTAGTAGCAGTTGGGACAGCCCAACTTTAGTTGAGTTCAGGACAAGGTGAATGGCAACGTCGTTCAGCTGTCTCTGATACTGATAGGTGGCTCCTGCACCCGATTTATTATTATTATTATTGTTATTTATTCGGCCAAGATTTCATACAGCAAAATATAATACAGAGAATATCACAATGAACATTTACATAACAAAACAAGTGGAACATGTATAAAAGGCTAAAAACATGAACAAGACAAACCCAAATTATGATGGCCAGGATTAATAAAGGGAATTATTTAATTTCATGAAACTCATCGTAACTAGTGAGGATGCATCGCAGCACTGGGACATTTCGTATCCCTATGACGCAACACAGCTGCGACGCATCCTGCGATCCATTCAGTGTTACTGAATTTCTAGTAAAATTGTACTGCATGACTGTATTAAGCCCGGTTCATACTTCATGCGAAAGTGAACGCGAATACTTGCCATGACGTCACAAATTTGCGTTCACTTTCACAGTGAGTATGAACCGGGCTTTAAACTGGATTAAAATAAAATGCAAAATGTATCCACAGTGAGGGCGCCCTGCACTGTCACTCAGTGCTGACTGCTGTGTACTGTAAGTATGTCACCGTTTTTGGTGTTTATGATAGAAAAGGATACTGTATATTCTGGCTTCCCAATCCTCCATCATGTAGGTAGCAGACACAATCTGATACTGTAGCCACACCATCTTGAAAAATCTTGCTATCCGTTGCCATAAACTCAGAGGTTTCTTAGATTCAGCCATTTTTCTTCCGCTTTATCAACCCTTCTACTTTCTAGTTTTGGTGTTTTGTTACTCTGACTCACTAGCGCTGGCAACCTGTCATATACCAATTTATCAATGCGTAAAAACAGTGAACCAGTGAATAGTCTGGCACCAAAACACATACCAAAACACGTTGTCACGTTCACGCACGTACTAGCGCATAGCCGGCTGTGTACCGGCCGCAGTCGTGGGGGCAACGAGCGCGCGTGTAGAGACGTACGTAGAAGTAGACGTGGCCACGTACGTATGTGTATGTACATGTACATGTACATATACATCTGCGCCAGAAAAGTGATGAAGTGAAGTTTCTTTTCACGATGAATTTATAAATATTTCCCTCTCACGAGCCATCAGGTCCAACCCTATGCCAATTAAATTATCTACCAACTGTCTACGTTCTTTAAATGAAAGGTAAGTGAGAGAATTCTTGCATTTGAAAATTGAAGTTCATCCCTGGAATTTACTGTTGAGGGCGGTTCAGCTTCAGAGTGCAGGAAATCATACAGACGGCCGGCCGCGGTGCGAGCCCGGCTTGGCCGGCCACGCGGCCCCCGGCGCGCCGGCCCAATCTGGCGTGGCCCGTAAACGTACACGTAGGCCTACGTGGTAACGATGTGTGGAGTTTAGGACATGTTTTAATTATAGTTTTAAAAAAAATGCAGTGGCCTACTCCTAGAACTATGAGGCTCTACGTGGAGCCTCATAGTTCTAGGAGTAGTGTAATAAGCCCGTGTCAGCGAGTTAGAAAATAACCTTTAATAATGTACTTAATTATTTTTTTTGGGTTTTTACTTTTACCATGGAGGAATATGGGGGCGGGGGGGGGGGGGGGGGGGGGGGTACTGTACATGTTTGTCCTCTACATACGTAGGCATCCTACCGGTAATTTTCTGGTTGATGCCATTCAATAGGAATATTAACGAAAACACAGTTTTGTGAATTCAAGATGCATCATGAATTGGTACGTACAACATGATGCATCTGCTCTTCCAATTTGCATTGATTCTAATCCTCTTTACTTCCAGGGTATGCACGGCCGTTTTCCCACAGTAAACTAATATATGCGAGATTTGACCTCAGTGAGGTCAAATTGTGCTTCTTTCTATATAGCCTCTGATGACGTCATATGCATGGATCGTATATTAAATCAGCCTATATTAAGCTTTCAATACCCAGCTTGAGACTCATCGTGGGTCTAGAGCTGGGTATTCCAAGCTAGGCCTTCAATGCACATGTTCTGACTTAATAGACCTGTGAACGTGGCGCGTTGTTTACACGCCACGTTTACAGGTCTAGTTCTGACTCATTTACACCAAACTTTGACAGAGTCATGTGGTGCATCTTTCTTTTCACTGATTTGGAACTGATGTTGTAATTTGAATCAAATGTATAATTTGTCAAAAATCAGATTTTAACATGCGAACTCCTTTTCAATAGACACAGTTTAGCCATGGCAGTTCCTAGTCCCAGAGCCAGCGTGTTGGTGGCAGCCCTAGTTGCGGCAGTCTGGAGCCACGCATCCCACGCAGCCGAAGAGAACCCCGTCGTTGTGGCACCGGCGGCAGCCGCAGCCGCTACCGGAGAGGTCGGCTGGACAGACTTCTGGCTGGTGCGGCTGAGCCTGAACATCCTGGGCTATGGCTCCGTCTGCCTCCCGGCCTGGCTGTTCATCCGGTATGTCAAGCGCTCTGGCTACCTGGAGCAGGGAGGTGAGAACGGTAGGAACCACCAATCCCAAATCCCACCTTTCTGCTTCACCTTGCATGCACGCTTCCACCTCTGCTTGGAGAGGTAAGAAGCGCCACTCACACATCTACTTCTTCAAATTTCCTTCATCCATTGCAAATCTTCTGAAATTGTATTTGTAATGCTCTTAACATAAAGACTACAGAGTATAGTGTGGCGATTCTGTAGTGTAGGGCCCTGTTCCCTATAACTTAATTAAAGGGAATAAAAATCCACTTTTAGGTTATTGGACTTGCTGAACTGGTTCGTGATCACGGCGACGCACAGTGTACACGCAAAACCACATTGATTCGCATGGCACCAACCGTAAAACGCGAAAGAAAATCGTATTTTCTACCACAGTCCACTAGAAACTGTTCTAAATTACAAAAAAGTTGAAGTCGTTATAATTAAGAGAAATCTGCTTTAACTTGTTGAAAAGTCATTTTGGAGTGATAAAAAAATACCCTTGACTCTAATTTATCAAAATTAAAGAGGGGTCCTACACTACACAAAACCCAGAGAATTATGTTATAATTTTGAATGTGAAGAAGGGAATTTACTTTTCAAACCTCCACAACCATGATTTTATTTTTATACATATGTATTTTAAAGGTTTTTTTTTTTGGGGGGGGGGGGTTTAAGAAAGTTCTTCTGAATTCTACTAAAATACCAAGTGAATAAGAGTAAACTTTTTGCTCTTTGAATGAGTTCTGGTCATAGTCAGTACTAACTAAATTTATGATTACTAGTCAGTACTAACTAAATCATTGCTAATAAACACATCAGTCCCTATACTACTGCTCAAAATCATACTGCCCCAAACTGCCAAGCACTGTAGAGTTTTATGGAGTACCGAAGTGAATATGTCACGCGCGCAAAATGTGTGTGAAAGACATTAGCACATGATTCAGCCCATGAACCAGCACGCGCCCGTACTCCATTCGTTTGTGCTACACTTTCTGGTTCTACATGACGTCACAGTTCGGTACTCCATAGATTTATTATGGAATAAATTATGTACAGTACGTGCAATGCAATGTTAAATGGGCTGAACACATTTGGAATCCCTAATGTTTGTCTATATGTACCATGGTGGCCCTGCATTACTTTTTCTCTTTTCGTTTTGGTAATAAAACATGGGAACTACTATAACACGACTAATTAAACAACTCTGTGTGCCCAGTAATTCTTTTTTGATAAAGACTAACATGACTAATGACCTATTGAATAACTATTTAATGTTTGCACCACAGCTGCACTGTCACAAAGTATACACTGTACAGCTGACTCCCCCTGCGGTGAAACAGCTGTGCAGGGAATTTTATTGGTTGGCTCAAATTGGCTGTTATACAAATGAAGTACATAACGAAATCTTTGGGCATCCGAACGGTTAATATACCAACATTTGTTTGAGATACCGGTAATATAAAATCGTAGTGAAGGATCGCGCTAAAACATACAAGTTCTGCTTCCGATTCCAAAAAAAAAATGTACATGGCATTTAAAAATAGGATAGGTAGGTAGAGAATTTGTTTTTGTACGCTCATATGGTGGTGTCTGCGTGTAGTGGGGGGAGTCAGGTTGGCGTAGCGGTACTTTCCTCGCCTTCCACCACTGTGACCCGGGTTCGAATCCCGCCTGGGTCAATATGTGGATTGGGTTTTCAGTCCCTGCCTGATTCCGTGGGTTTTCCTCAGAATACTCTTCTGGGCTTTTCCTCCCACCTCTAAAACTGTAATTTCTTCACATTGTCTTCTCTTTACTGGGACCCATGGGAGATCAGTGGATTCCACTGAATGGGCTACCCAGTTAAAATAAGAAATAAATAAAAGTGGATTAAAGGTAGTTGGCCTAATTGATGATCTCTCATTGTTTCCCCCCCAAAAAAATTAGGGTAGGGGCTGTCAAAATAGGGTAGGTAGGGTAACCAGAAGCAGAACTATTATTTTTTTTCGGCCTTCATGGCACTTTTTTAATCACTTTCGAAGGCCCAGTGGAATGGACACACCTTGTGCTTAAAGTTTGGCACAAAGTACATTCATTCATTTTATTCGGTTACACCTCTATGTTCCGACACCCCTATGTTCCGACTGCACATATTCCTATTCATAACCCTAACCCTAACCCTAACCCTAACCCTAACCGGGAGTAACACAATCTAGGTTGTCGCAACATAGGGGTGTCGGAACATAGAGCAGTCACCTTTTATTCAGGCATGAGATTTTTCAGACTTTTGTCTGAAACAAAAATTTCATGTTTTGGATTGTTTACTTATCTAATTTCAAACATCTGGTTGAAAGGAAACCAACATAATGTCGTACCGTTCCCGAAAAAAAGACAAAAAAACCTGGTTGTTTATCGGACACGACGGAGTACGAATACGTTTTTCCTGTCTTTCTCAGTCAATATACGATACAGCACCGTGCTCGCGAACAGCGGTGACCAATCACCAATGCACAAAATATGGTTTCTTACACGTCCGCAAAAGGCAAACACTTTACGTATGAAATCACAACTAGCACCCAAACAACTCGACTTTTTGGGTTCGCAAAAATGGACCCCGAAAGTTGTTCTCGCACGCATAATACAGGAATAACACAAAAACGCCCAGTTTTTAAAAGATAGGCCTAGTCGTGTGGATGTTCATATCCTACTTTTAAATGTTCTTTCCAATTAACATCATTTCGTTCAAAGTGCATTTTGTAGTGCAATTGGGCTGTTCTAGGACGCAGTGTCCCTTTAACTTATTCAGTAACAAAATATGCACAACTTTGTTGCACCTCATTGTAGAACATAAGCACTGCACCTCCAAGATGGCTACCGTACACATTGCCTGCTTTTGCCTCTTGTTCTCTGTTCTCTAGTGCGTTTAATAGTTATGTTCATGTTCATGTACGTGTATCCCATATTCACATGCCATTTTAAGTTGAGAACAAATTCATGTACTGTACATGCAAGCAGCTGCTTCAAACATTGGGATGTATACATGTGTGAGTGTATAAATGTGTGTACAAGTTGCAACTTTCGTACCATTGTATACATTGTGTACATACAAAAACAGCTGCCAAAACTGATGTATCAGTAACGATGCATGTACAATGTATTGTGATGCAGTCCTTATTCTAGTATTGTGATGGGCATTGCACCACAAAAAAAAGTGGTTCCCTAATGGTCTGCTGTGTGTGTCTTTCAGTGTAATATGCCTTCACTGTTTCTTAATTTAAATATATGTAATAAAGCCTCCATCATGATGCGGTACACTAAGGATCGGTTATTTCGAACCAAATTAGGTATGGCTTATAATGCTAAATATTACAATAAATATAACAATATCCCCTCCCCCCCCCCCAAAAAAAATCCACAATATCTTCATGACTACAATGATAAAGGGGTAACTGTTGCTTTAGTATTGTGTGGTTATTCATTTCCGTTGGGACATATGTACCAAAAAGATAACAGGTATGTGTCATGTATATTTAGGCACGTACATACATGGCAATTTGTAGGTTTCAATTTAGGCATTTGCTTTTTACTGACATGACTGAGCTTGAATGCATTTTTGTAGTCAGGTCCATCACAAGTTCCGTTGTAAGTAAATCACAAAACCGTTGTTTATACAATCACAAGTAACAGGGGATGAACAGTGACAAAGGAATGCCTTTGGCTTTTGCCACAGTTCATTTGGTCAGCTTGTGACTTTACCTATGTCGTGATAACTTGCGATTGACTCCTGGGCCCAATTCCACGGCGCTGCTAAGCAAAAAAAATTGCTTAGCAAAAAAAACCAAAAAAATGCCTGGCTGATAAAAGCAGTTTACCAGCCAAAACTCCACATGATTTTCATGCTATAGCAAGCAACAGCTGAATACTGATCACTAGCAATATGCATCACATGGAGTTTTGGCTGGTAACCTGCTTTTATAAGCCACACTTTGTTGTGCTAAGCAAATTTTTGTGCTAAGCAGTGCCGTGACATTGGCCCCTGGTGGACCCATGGGGACTTTTGATGGACTGGCCTCCTTGAACACTGCTTGAATGCGTCAGTATTTCTGTTCTTTTCACAGGCCACAATTGCATGTTTAGGTCCATCCGTTTGTGTGTGGCTGGAAACGAGGAGAAAACCAGCCTTGAGGAAGGAGGAGTGAAGGCAACAGCCCCAGAACCACCCAAGGTGATACAAGAAAAGGTTTTTCTCCTCGGAAAGTGTTTGTCAATAAGCACTTTCACGTTAATGTGCGCGCCATCTTGCTCACAGGGCAAAAAGAGCACGCGTTGCTAGACACGGGCGCATATTGGAATGAACGCATGACGACTTGGAAGCGGAAAATTTTCAATTGACGATGCGTACACAGCAGTTCACAATGCATGTCGCCCCCAAGAGGTTACGCAAAAGAGGTGTACATATATGTTTGGCCAAAAATAAAACTCTGGAAATAAACTGGTCTTGGTAGTTTCATGATTCATTAGCACATTTAACTTTGAATATTTTGTTAGACAAGGATAAGTTTGTAAGGCTCTCAGTGTTTATAGTGTGGTAGTGAGTTTAAAGATATAGTCCATCATTTGTAATTTGTGCATTTTGTTCGTTTGAAGCAACAAAAGTGTTCAAAATCTAATGAAGGATACTGAACAACTAACCTGATGAAGTTTCAGCTCAGCTTCAGCTGTATATTCCGAGAAAAACAGCATTCTAGGATCTCAATTTCAAATCAAAAGTTGCTGAATCATGTTTTGAATTGGGCCTGAATTCAGCGTTCAAGACGTGTTCTCACTGAGCCGATTGCAGCTATACGTGATGTCGCGCACTGATCCAACGAATTATAGCAACCGCACGCGTGTGTGCGTCATGCCAATGCTTGCGCGCGCTTCGCCGAATAACAAAACGAACTATTAATTTAAATTTTCCTACGGTGCATCTTAAGATGCACCGTTGGAAAGGCCTTCTTTCATTGATTACTTCAAAATGACAGCTTGCCTGAAAGAATAATTTCACAGGGAGTTTAGTTCCCTTACTATCTTTCAACCAAGTATGTTTTTCAACAATAATTACGTCAGTTACTTTTCGGATGGCTGCAAATGCTGGACTATAGCTTTAAACGATGGACAGTTGCATAACTGCTGGATAGTGTATGCTGGATGTGGACCAATGAAGTTGAAAACTGTATCACATGTGGATTGTATTGAAATCTTTTCCCTCCATTTTTTTGTTCTATTTGTAGTTCAACAAAGGCGTGGTACTCTTCTTCTGCGTGTTGGGCCTGCAAGGTTCCTACCTCACCTGGGGTGTACTCCAAGAGCGCATCATGAAACACGAGTACGGCAAGGACGAGAACAATCCGGGAGAGAAGTTCACCAACTCCCAGTTCCTTGTCTTCATGAACCGGATCCTGGCCTTCAGCGCGGCCGGCGTGATCATACTGGTGACTCGACAGCCCAGGCACACGGCCCCTCTCTACAGGTACTCCTACTGCTCCCTCTCCAACATCATGAGCAGCTGGTGCCAGTACGAGGCCCTCAAGTTTGTCAGCTTCCCCACCCAGGTGCTGGCCAAGGCCTCCAAGATCATCCCCGTCATGCTGATGGGGAAAGTGGTCTCGGGGAAGACATACGAGTACTATGAGTACCTGACGGCGGCCATGATCTCCATGGGCGTGGCCATGTTCCTCCTGACGCAGGGAAAGGAGGCGACGGGGCCCACCACCGTGACCACCTTCTCCGGGGTCCTGATTCTCATCGGGTACATGATGTTTGACAGCTTCACCTCCAACTGGCAGGCTGAGCTGTACAAGCAGTACAACATGTCCAGCATGCAGATGATGTTCGGCGTGAACCTCTTCAGCTGTATCTTCACCAGCTGGTCGCTGATCGGGCAGGGAGGCTTCGCCGTGGGGCTGGGCTTCATGCTGAAGCACTCCACCTTCATGTTCCACGTGCTGCTGCTGTCCCTGTGCTCGGCCACTGGCCAGCTCTTCATCTTCTACACCATCTCGCAGTTTGGCGCGGTGGTCTTCATCATCATCATGACCACGCGGAGCGGGCTGGCCATCTTCCTCTCCTGCCTCATCTACGGACATCCCCTGACTGTCATCGGCGTCTTTGGTGTGTTTATCGTCTTTGCCGCCCTCTTCTTGAGAGTGTACGCACAACAGCGCAAGAAAGCGCAGAAGGCGCGCGAAGCAAGGCAATCAGAGCTTAGTAACGGCAACAAGGTTTGAAAAAACAAAACAATTGGACTGGTTGGGATCAACTGCTTTATATATTTTTTTTACATTGAAGCTTAGATGCTGGTATGGTAAGATACCATTTTAAGTTCATTCTTTTAGAACTTTTGTAGACACAGATTCTGCACCCTTCAGTGACTCTAGTGATTCCAAGAATTCTGTGGGAAAAGGGTAGTGACAAATTTTTTGGCACAATGTACTTAATCTTCAGCGGGGAAAGAAGCGCCACGTGAATTAATAACGACTACCTGTTCTCAATCCCGCCAAATCCTCTCCAACCTTTTTGGATTTTGAATGAGGATTCAGATTAATTTTTGCTGACAAATGATAACCATACACGAAGCTTACTCATGGAGATGTGTTCATTCGGCGCAGGGTTTAAAATATTGGCTTGGATCTCACAGCGAATTTAGACTGCCAAACTTGTCTTAGGCTCCTTGATATTGAACTGGGTCCAGGAATGAGTAAATATCAGTGATCAGGGTAAGGATGTTTCAAGTGCTGTTATCATGTATCCAAAGTGCAATTTATAGACAAAGATGTTGAAATATTCTCCTCATCATATGTGTGCATATACTCGTAGGGACATTTTCCTAAACGCAACATGGTACAGATACCATTGGGGTCTACATGTACATGCATTTCTAGGGGTTAATTGGAGTATTACATACCAATCACTCATTTTTGTGAATCCAATTTCTCTGTCAGTTGTTCTTAATGCTAGGTTCACACATTTGCGATTTTTAAAGGGAATATACATCATTTGCTTTTGCTGTAATTTTCAGAAATGGATGCAGTTGTTTGAGGGGTTGGAAATATATAGCAAATATAGTTACACTGACTTTTTGACGTTTTGGGTTCGAAAATGCTATAAATACCAAGAAAAACAATCATTTTCCTGTAGTCTAGTTCCTTGACTCCATATAAGAAGAAACAGAGCAGTTTACATACATTGGGGAATTGTAAGGTCACGGAACCAGTCTAGCTGGCTTGTACCCGTTCATAGGTGTGTAATCGATTGCAAACAAGTGAGATGGTCAATTGGGGCCAGTATTTGAAAAAAAAGCCAGGTTTTTTCCAACGCTGGTCGGCCGACCAGTGTTGGAAATTTATACAAAAATACCACTTTTCTTGAAAATAACAGTATACCAGGTGCCATGATTTTACAGGATGCTTTACACTGTCATTCACTAACAGTCCAGCAAGGTATTTCAAAATGATTTGGTAGTTTTATTTTTTGATGTTTGCAAATGTTGTATTTTCCCTTTAAGCCGAATCGCCAAGAATAGCAATTCTTGAGTAGATCTGGGATGGTTCTTGGCTGCCTCGGGATGATTCTGTTAGCCCGGTGAAAGATTGTTAGCAATTCTTGAGTAAATCTGGGATGGTTTCTTGGCCGCCTCGGGATGATTCTGTTAGTTTGGTGAAAGATCGTTAAAGATCGGGAAGCACCCTGACAAATTTGAACATGTTCAAAGTTATTATAAGATGGAATTTTGCGTCGGGGTGATATAAATCAAATTAGGTTTTTGCCCTTCACCGACGTTTTAACACTGTATACTCAGTGTGTTACTTCCCGAGTGAAAGTTGGAAAAAATCACTCGGGTGGGACTCGAACCCACGACCTCCTGCTTTCTAGTGCAGGAGGGTGTTCAAAGTTGTCGGGGTGATTCGGGAACCAATTTCAATTCTTGGTTTATTCTGGTTGTATTCACAACTAATTCAGGAATGTGTAAACCTACATTGTAGCATAAGACATTTCTTTACATGTTCTGCATTAGTTTGATATTCAGACACGAAACATGTTTTGAAAGGAGTTGATGCATAGTGTAGCCAACAGTTAATTAACTCACTTTTTTTGTTCATCATTGCCCCTAACTCCTTAATGTCCGTTACCAAGACTGGACCAAGTCCGCCAAAATCCATCGCTGACCCTGCTTCACAGAAGCTTCAGGACCAAATCTGCTAAAATCCACAAGAACACCACTACCATGACTACAGCCCGTCTAAAAAAAAAAATGGTACAATCGAAAACAATTTTTTTTCAATATTAAATCTCAACATAAGTAAGTCGTTTTGAGCATCACATTAAAGAAAAAAGACCAGGCTTTCCAATACTTTTTGTTTCATTTCATTTGCTTTTGTCAATCCAGAGATAACTCCAGTTTACTGCGGAACACAAAAATCGAGTTTGTTTCTTTTGCCAAGTTGCAATCTTTTGTGAGCTTCAAGACAGCATGGCACATTACTCGAAACAACTCTGCCCATGCATAAAAGTGGCACAAAATCGATTTTGGTGTATCGCACTAAATTGATTAGGCCTATATCTCTGAATTGACAAAAGCAAATAAGATCAAACAAACACTTTTGGAAAGCCCAGTCTTTGTTCTTTAATATTGTGCCAAGTAAGTATGAGTATGACTTATTTTGAAATTTCATATTTAACCAATTTTTTTTTCTGATTGTACCATTTTTTTTGAGACAGGCTGAATAGGTGGATTTTGATCGACTTGGTACTCATGACTTGCCTACCAAAATCCCCCAAATGGGGGGGGGGGGGGGGGGATTTTGATGGAGTTGGGAAGGTTAGGGTCAGTCTTAAATTAATGTGCTTTCTACTGCATGTCAAAACCTAATAAATGCACGTGAAAATATGTCCATTTGAATTGTGTAGGAGCAGTTGAATCCCCAGATTTCTTTTGAAAACAAGCTGTGGAGACATGTGCAATTCATGGAGGTAATACCCAATTTATCTCTTTATTAGTCATTACACATTTGATGATCCCAATCAAGCAGCTCATGAATTGTCAAAAGTGATTATTAAAATTTGATCTAACCCCAAAAAAATTTTACCCAAAAGTTTACTGGACTCGTACTTTTGCAGCAATAGTCGCATGGGGCAGGCCAGCAGAATAAATTTCAACGAAGTCAAAATACTTAACTGTTAAAGTCCAGTCTTGCATACATATTTTTGTAGATACAAATGTTTGAATACCATCATTGAAAGAGAAGGTAAAAAAGTATATATATTTTTCTTATACAGGTATTAGAAGTAAAGCACAGTACATGCACCTTAAGGAGTTTTCAAATCTTCCTAAGAATTAGGTTTGGTCAGTATTTAACACTGTTAATAACAGCTTATCTATGTGGGGGCTGGTTAGTGTAACAATATTATTATTTTTTTAGTTTGAGGTAGTAAATTTAATCTCTTTTTTTAATTGCATGTACCTTTCATTTCGCTTTAATCTTTGTGTTTCTGTAGTTTACGTTTGTTGTGCATATGTATGTTTTACGTTAAAAAGAAAGAAGCATACATGTGTATGTTTACTGAAGTATTTATTTTTCGTTTTGTTTAACTCAAAAGCCAAGTGGACATTCCATTTGCTTTCACTAGACTGTTTGTAGACTCCCTTTACAAAGAAAATAAAACAGTAAAAACTAAATACACATTTGTACATGAAATCTGCATGTTGTGTTTTCCCCACATATGTGACCTGTTCTGTCAAAAGCAGACTCTTCTGGGCAGAAGTTGAAATTGAGATAGGGCAAAAAAACGCTGTGGGGGTGATTTTTTCCATTTTCACATTTTTGCATATTTGTAATCCTGAACATGTCTAAAATATACTATTAAAGTTTGAAACCCTAATTTGAACTCTAAATATAGTATTTTTGATGATTTGTTGAGGTACATCAGTTAAAGAAATTACTGTCTTGTGACGTTCGTGGCCATTTTCTCCGTTTTCTACTTTTCGACACAATGAACTTCAAAATAGCATAACTTTGCACAAGAATGACCGGTTTCAAAAATTAAACCACCTATTAAAAGGAAAAACAACATATTTTAACAATATGCAAAAATCTCATTTTTGACCTCATGCCCAGAAAAGTCTGATTTTTACAGAACAGGTCACATATTTCCATTTACAACTTCACTTTTCATTTTGTGAAAAGATGCTAGTGACACATAAACCGGCCAAAATCGGAAAAAAAACCACCCAAAGTTTGAAGTATTAATTAATGGTCAATTGAATTTATTATAAAATAAGTCACATTACCCAAAGGGCATAGCCTACATGCCAGCAAAAAAAGTGCGTTGCAGTGAAAACAAATGGCCTTGTAAGAAGTGCTTACATGTATGTGGACGTAAATGGATAGTGTGAAAGAACAGTTACAATATATAAATGATTTTGTTTAACCAGTTCGCACCGAGGACATGTATACATGTACACGCAAATGTTTTCCGAAATTCAGATCGGATAACTGATACACCCGCAACGAGCGAGGAAAGAAATATCCATCAGCGACCCGCTCACAGCGAGCGAGGCCGGCGTGCTACCTGCAGATCATGGCCTGAGCCCGTCTGGGATCGAGGTTCGTGAAAAATAATCCAGCGCCTGGGTCTGGTCACTGTCACAATAAATCCAGCTCGAACTGGTTAAAACCGGTCAGGGAACTGGTTAAAACCGGTCAGGGAACTGGTTAAAACCGGTCAGGGAACTGGTCACTGATATTGGCCCTTCAGCTCAAGCTTTCATCAGCAGCCAAGCCCCAAACCCTTTTATGTTACATTGTTCCAACACACTATTACCCCCATTCAAAAATACGTTTTCAGTCAAAAGCCATTAGAAATGTCAAAGATTCTGCTATGGGCTCCGTGCGCGAACAAAAGAGGGCTCTTTTTGACCACTTTTGAGGGCTCCAGTGGGGGGCACACCGCGTACATGTGATGGTTCTCGCGCTTGTGGCGCGACGTACGCATGACTAATTATATTCTGAATGTACACAAAGCCATAGGGTCTTCACTTCAGCATCAGGCGTCGTCGGCAATGCGTTTTTATCGTCTCTCCCATGGTCTCCCCCAACTCTCCCCTTCGTAGCGTTGAGGGGGTACTTGTGCACGGAGCCCATACCAATTTATGTTATATTGTTTTCCGTGTTCAGGTCATTGTTATGGTGTGCGTGGCATGCGGGGTACTTGAGCATCGGAACACGTGATTGTACAAGCAATTCATTTTGCTTGGCTGTAGCCCATGCGCATGGTGCTTATTGCATGCATTTGGCAAAACGTGTGAGGCAATGTGATCGGTTAAAAGCAACCCATGTCATGGTGGGAATGGATAAACTGTCCCAGGTACATGAAAGAATATATAGGTGTAATTACACTGTTTGTGGATTCTGGCCATGAATACATATTCATAAATACCTCAGACAGTTTAGCTATTCCTATTGGTCGAGAGCCCGTCACGTGGCCGGTCTTAAACGGATGATAAAGACATGGCTAGCTGGTCTTAAACACTTTTCCAGTGTCACATAAAATGTGGACTCCTAAAAAGCCAGTGCCTCTTACCATTTCATTGGTTGAACGTTCACAATCCTCACGTAGGCGTGCGCAACACTACCAGCGAGTCAGAATTTTATAGTTCTAAATTCAAAACGCAACGCCCCAGGTGCGTTCTGCGCGACATCGCACAGAACATGATACGCGCGCGTCAATCTCCATAAAAGGGTCGTTTACATCTTACTCGCCAGCTGAACACTCCATTATTTTGCTAGAGGGATGTTTCAAAAAGCATGAAGTGAACTTGTTGAACAAAACCGGGATTTTTTGAACGAATTATTTGATTTTTTTTACTGAAAAGGTATTTATGAATGGGAATAAATGTGTGCTCGGTCGGTATTTATCACTCTGTTTAAGACCGCTAAGAGTCTGGGTGCTGATAATTACCCTCGCCTCCGGCTCGGGTAATTATCAGCACCCAGACTTGAAGCGGTCTTAAACAGAGTGATAAAAACCTCCGGAGCACACATTTATTCCCTTATTCATAGATATGTTACATATCTATGATGAAAACACAAGTCAATACCTTTTCACAGCAGATTCTTGAAAATTGAATTCCACTATCAAATCTGCATATTTACATGTATGTACATGAAGTCGATCTCTCTCAATAACAACTCTAGTCTTTTAAAATCAAACTTCCTCAATTCAGGATTTTAAAATTACCAGAATTACCAGACAATTCGCACAAATGTCGTCAATAGCTAAGCAATTGGTGGCTGAAATTCTTTCACGTTCAGTAGTATCAGTCCATAAATAACATGTAGGCACAGGTTACTCCGTGAGACTAAGCCTGTCCACTCGTTGGTGAATGTGGAGGCACTTTGATTGACCTCATTTGACCTTCCTGGCACACAGCCAATCCAGAGGCACTTGGTAGGAGTATCGCGGGAGGCCGTCATCGCAAGGTACGTGCCATCCAGAGTCGGTGTGCTGGGCTACAGTGTCGTGCGCAGTTCTCGCCTGGGGAAAGTTGGAAAAGAGGTGTTCAATAAACATGGTTGGAAATGGGTGGGGCTTGGGTGGGGCTACGAATGGCTTGGGCTTGAGTGGGGCTGCGGATAGGTGGGGCTTGAGTGGGGTTGCATTGGAGTGGGGTTGCATTAGATAGGTGTTGCATTGCACGCAGCAAGTGGTCCAGCAACAAAGTAACATGGGCAAGGGGTTAAAGCTATAGTCCATCATTTGCAGCTATCCGAAAAGTGGCTGGCATCATTATTGTTGAAAAACATACTTGGTTGAAAGATAGTAAGGGGACTAAACTCCCTGTGAAATTATTCTTTCTGGCAAGCTGCCATTTTGAAGTAATCAACGAAAGAATGCCTTTCCAATGGTGCTTCTTAAGACGCACCGTAGGAAAATTTAAATTAGTAGTTCGTTTTGTTATTCAGCGAAGCGCGCGCAATCATTGGCACACGCGCACGCGGCTGCTATAATTCGTCGGATCGCTGCGCAACATCGCGTAGCTGCAGTCAGCTCAGCGAGAACGTGTCTCGGACGCTGAATTCAGGCGCAATTCAAAACATGATTCAGCAACTTTTGATTTGAAATTGAGATCCTAGAATGCTGTTTTTCTCGGAATATACAGCTGAAGCTGAGCTGAAACTTCATTAGGTTAGTTGTTCAGTACCCTTCTTTAGAGTTTGAGCACTTTTGTTGCTTCAAACGAACAAAATGCACAAATTACAAATGATGGACTATAGCTTTAAAGATAATGTCCACCATTTGCAAATATTCAAAATGAACAAGTACAGCCAGCACTCTGACATGCCCTGTGACCTATGGGTTATACATGTATGCACGAGGAATTCAGCTAGCTGCACTTCAAAGGTAGAGTAGATCATTCATTTGTCACTTAGGCAATTGAAGCAACAAAGGTGCTCAAAATCTTAAGATGGGTGCTTAACAACTAACCTGATAAAAGTTTTAGCTCTGTGAATGCTGTGTATTCCGAGAAAACAATATTCTAGGATCTCGATTTCAATTCAAAAGTTGCCGAGTCATATTATGAATTGCGCTTGAAATCGGTGTCCGGAACACATTCTCATTCAGCCGATTGCAGCTACGCGATGTCAAGCACTGAACCGATGAATAATAGCAACCGCACACACGCGTGCGTTATGTCAAGCTTGCATGCACCCATTCACCAACGGAAATGTTAAAAAGATGCGTCACTTGACTCATCTTTGGAAATGACCTTTTATTGTTTTCTTCAAAATGACAGCATGCCAGAAGGAATAACTACACAGGGAGTTTAGTGTCATTACTATCTTTAAACCAAGTAAGATTTTTTAACAATAATTTGATCAGTTACTTTTTGGATAGCTGCAAATGATCTACTATCTACCTCTAACAGTTGGAAAATGAACAGCGATTTTTCCTGTTTTTCCAGCACCAATGGGCACAAAACATTGAACAGGTCAGAGAAACAGTGGCAGCGCCAGACTCTAAAAAAAAAAAATTGGGGGGGGGGGGAAATTGGGGGGCAAGGAAATAATTTTTTGGGGGGCAGTAAAAAAAATCTCAAGCCTGTGTACGCCCATGTGTACCACTGTTGTAGTCGTTTTTATGAATGAGAAATGTATCAAACCCCAGAATGGTGTACAACAAATGTATTAGAAATGTACAAAGACTTTGGCTGCACACTATCTATGGCTGTATAATGCATGCGTGGCATGTTTTGTCCAAAGTACCGATGTTTTAATGCTTTCATTGGCCCCAAATTTTATGAATCTTGACAGCGAAGAAAATAACATAATTAATCTAACTGTAGATAATGTGTTCCTAAATTCACTAAATAATTCCTAAATAAAGGTCCTAAATTCACAGAACGGTTTGGATTTTTGTTCACTCACTTTGAAGTTTGCTTTTCCCCTTGGAAGCCCAGTGGGTACATCTGGTGCCCTCTCTGCCATTTGACAAATGCTACGTGGGTCGGCTGATCCAGGAGCGCCTTGTGATCGCGCAGCATGTCACGTGACACGTAGCAGGCCTTGGGCCCACTGTGCAGGGTTGCGTACAGCATGAACGGGTCGTCTTCAGAGCTGTGCAAAAAAAAAATTTACAACATGGTTATAACATTGAAGTGGAGGCTGTGAATCATATCAATTACATTTCGTCGTGTCCGTGAAACAAGGTCGTTTCTCCTAAAATGGGCCGTACGTGAAATGCGAGTTTCAGAATGTCAAAAGGTCGTATCTCGCTTAAAAATAACCCGGATGTTCACACAAAGTCAATGGATGTCGAGATACGACCTTTTTGCATGGAGCGTATTCGAGAGAGATACGACTTTGTTGCAATATGGAGTAATGACTTTGTTGCAATGACGCGATAATTTGTCACAAAGAAATGACGTTATATAAGCTCCAAAACTGGAATCATGGACGTATACATTTCGGCAAATCCAGTACGTAGTAGGCAAGCCTACAAAGCTGTGACAGATGGAAAAAAACTGTGCGAAAAATGCAGAACCAACAAGTGCTGGGTTGGCATGATTATGACAACCGTACATGGCACAGGTAGTTGGTTGCTAAAACCAAACACTTGCCGAATTCAATATTTATGGTGGCTGATTGCAGGTAACCGGGATGGTCATGTGGTACTGTGACGTCACGAGTTGTTATAATAACTTCCATTAAATGGTACAGACCCTCACCCTGCTGATGACTCCAACAAGATCTAATGCTAACAAATTTCTGGTGGATTTTCCGATGTGAGTAGTGAACACAATAAAGATCTTTGGAGCCAGCTGTTGGATCCTGATGAATTCAGCAGACTGCACACTTTAGGGCCCGTGACCATTCAGCCCCGGTATGAAAAGGGCCCCCCCCCCCCCCCCAGTAAGCTCGTCCCCTCCCAAGAAGTCCTCTCTATCGTCCCAGCTACCAGCCCAGGAGCTGGTCCGGTTGCTAATCAGGAACTCCTCTATCCTGGGGTCTATTGTTTGCAAGTATTGACACATGTAATATATCCCAGAAGAAACCCCCTTGTGGTTTTCATCTCTCAGCGCGAAACAATAGAACACTTTCGTCGGCGCAGATCAAAACCCCTGCCTTGCGGTTTCGCGCACAATGGGACCGTAAATTACCTAGGCGTTATGGAAGGATTTTATCTTTAATCCGGTAAGTCTGCTATTGTTCTGCTCTGGAGGTTCTCTGAAGTGCAATAAATTGATGCGCTTGACTGACTTCAAAACTTCTGGTCATACAGGACCATGTACCCGACGAGACTGGGCTGAAGACCGGACTGGCTCTCGACCGGACGAGGTACCGGGGGGCCCTTTTCATACCAGGGCTGAATGGTCACGGTCCAATTATAAACATGATAAATAGCTAGTGGAAATTGTTGGAGTCAGCAGGATGCTTATGAAATATTTGGAGTAAAATAATAACGCTACCTATCCATCATACTTGTGCAGGGATCCGTGCACAAGTACCCCTCCATATCATCAACGGTTTCAAAGGGAGAGTTAGGGAGACCAACGGGAGGGACATCCTAATGCATTGCTGAAGGCGCATGATGCTCACATGAAGACGTCACAGATTCGGAATATTAGTCAAGCGTACTTCGCGCCATATGCACCCGAACTATGGTACATGCACATAGTGTGTCACTGACACTGGAGCTCTCAAAAGTATTCCAAATCGCCATTTACTGTTTGGGTACAGATTCCATAAGGAAGCTACTATGTGCTCCGTGCGCCAACAAAAGAGGGTGCATTTCTACCACTTTTGGGAGCCCCTTAGATGGGACACCGTATATGCGTACGGGACTGGTTCGCGTACGAAGTTCACACAACTTATTTATCCTGAATGTGCACAAAGCTAAGCCGTAGTGTCTTCGCACGTGAGCGTCAGGCGTTGTCGGCGTGCGAATACGTTCAAATTTAACTTGCAATGGTTTCGCAGACTAATGCCCACCCCCAATAATTTTGGATCATTCAAAATACGCAGTGGATGGACCGGGAACCAGTCTAGGTCTCCCCCAACTCTCCTTTTCTGGCAATTGTCGGGGTACTTGTGCACGGAGACCATACACTCAGACAAACACTTGCACCGCCCCAATGTGTCTCCGACTTACAAATTGAAAAAAGCAATCATGCCTAAGTCACTTTAGCTTACATGTTTTCAGTGAAGAAGCAGTCGGCTACGTCCTGTATGACTTGCATGTGATGTCTGGACCAGGTTTTGCTGTAACGCAGCATGTGCTGTCGACCCAGCACAAGGCACTTCAGGCTGCACTCCTGGGCTAGGTACACCACAAACTGCCTCAGCTGTGTGTCAAAAAAGGAAGAAGTTTGGTTGTCGATCCTCGCAAATAAACCAAAATTAAAATCCTCCGGTCTTCAGTCTAAAGGTGAAGGTAAAAAGGTAAAGGGGACGAACGTTCACAGGAATGGAGTGCCCATCTCTCTTTCGAAGCGATTGGGCCAGACTCAATATAATGCTGCTGCTGGGGGGGGGGGGGGGGGGGGGGGGGATCGCCACACCTCCTCCACCGCGAGTCTGTTACCTTCCCAGCATTGAATAATGTCAGTACCCATTTAACACCTGGGTTAAGAGGAGTAATTGAGGAAGAGCGCCTTACTCAAGGGCACAACACGCATGGCCAGGGCGGGGCTCAAACCCACAATCCCACGATCATGGGGCCAATGCTCTACCGCTAGACCACACGTGCCCACACCTGCATTTGGTCTAGTGCCGAGCAATTCCAATGAACAGGCAAAAGCATTCCCTTGTCAATGTTCATCCTCTAATGCTTGTATCCTTATGATTAGCTTGTGACCGTACTAAATCTGCTGCCTTTGCTGCATGATGCAACAGATCCATTATGGTCTGACGTTACAGTATTCTCTGCATTTTTTTCTTGACTATCTAAATTTCCCGAAGAATGTTCGTGTCTGTGGAGATCGTAAGTGGGTGCAGAATTCTCAAGCTATTATAGCCTGACAGAGGTCACCTCAAGCTCCACCTTGAAGGATAATTTTGAGAGTTTTAAGGGGATCGAAGCGTCATCTGCAACATCGGCCAACATTTGAATAAAAAAAAAAGTAGGGGAAAAAACAACCCGCCTCGCCACACCACTTTTGGGGCAAGCTCATATACCAGAAACTGGAGATATTTGTTTCGCCTTAGCATAAAACAAAATCAGCAAAAAAATATTCCAGTGAATATTACAGTTTGGGAAACCTCACATTTTTGTACCACTGGTATGTACAGAAAACAAATAATAAATTTGAAAAAAAAAGCCATGTTGAACCATCGTTAATTTATAAGTGCCATCCCCCCCCCCCCCCCCACGCTCAGAATTTAAATATGGAAAAATTGACTTTAATGAAAGAAATTAACTATGACCCAAATAATCCCACCATAAAATCGGACTCAGGTTACGCAAAAGCACACAAGATGCATGAGTACATCGCCTGCATTTTTACCCACCAATTTAGAAGGCTGGACATTCTGTCTGATGTGCGCTATATTCAACCCATCGATGATGACATCGTATGGGCCCCCCTCGTCCACGAACTCCATGAAAGCTTGCAACTCATCTGGCCGGGTCTTCTTAAAAATGTCCCCTCCTTTGATCACCTGTCGGTGAAACAAAATCATGAGAAATCTGAAAATATTGCAGGAAATGTACATTGTAAGTACATGTATCACACATGTATGAACACCCCCTCTGGAATTTGTATCCTTGTGGAGCCATTTCTTTGTTTTCGTGTACTAAAATTTTAGAGTTTGAAAGTGTAGTTTCAAAATGCTCATATAATAACCAATATTCACTTCCTGGGCTGCAATTCGAACTTAATATCCCTTACATAAAATACTTCGATTTGTGACGGATCAACACACCTTGGAAATTCCTAGTTTTTGAGTAAACTCCATATATCTATTTCGTGATAACCTTGTGGAGATGTAAAATTCACCTATAGAATTTGCCCTGTGGAGACATACAGTACAATCTTTTGTTCCCTATTAGGCACATGTCTCCACAGGGTACCGTGTACCAGCTCATTTTACAATACATGTTCTCCCAACAGTACTTTTTCTCATTTGAGCATACTGCAGTACAACAAGACAGCTGAAACTACTGCAACCTCACAGCCAGCTTGGACATGTTGGAATAACCAAGATTCAGATTCAACCAATTCAGATACTGAATTGTTCCCCAAACGAAGATGGCATGCATCCTTCACAGCAGAGTCGTAATGACTAAAGTAAATGACTGGACTCGAGTCCGGCTCGAGTCACAATTTTTGCCGACTTGACTTGAATCGAGTCCCAACGGGTAACTGACTCGACTGGACCCACTGCGAGCAAATGACTCGACTCGACTTGAGTACCTCATCAGAAGACTCGACTCTACTTGAGTCAAAGGCTAACTGTATGTATTAGATCATGGCGTTCAAATATCAGTGACTTGAAATAACTCGAGCATGAATTTGACTCGGCTCGACCACACACTGTGAGCAAATCGCCTCGATCTTGACCTAATGACTCGACTGACTCGAGTCACTTCCGTAAAAATGACTCGACTCAAGTCACAAAATTCAGTGACTTGTTACAACTCTGCTACATTGTAGCTTGAAAAAAAAAATTTCAGTAACAATCACACTTCTCAACCTAGTGACAACTACATTGTATATATGGGCAATATGGATCAACATTTACGAATACCTTCTCTGTGATTTGATGCTTCAGATTCAGGAAATCCTCCTGGCTGATGTCCAACGACTCCAGCTTGGAACCGCAGGATTTACACTTGCCGCTCTTTGTCACTTTAGTCATGGATGCCTTCCACACCTCACCATGCTTCCTGTATAAAGAGATTGAAAATAAAACCAAACATACATTTGTAAGTCAACAATTTTGACTGCATCTTTGTCTATTTTCCCACAAGGACAAGGCTGGTAAAACAATAGAAGAGTTTTCTTCATACAATTCTAAGCAAATTTCTACCGTTAAAGACAATTAAACACAGATTAATTTTAACTTGAAATAAATGTTGCCTCAGCGTACTGGAATAAGCCCATTCATCGTTGTTAAATTTCATAGAGATTGCAGGCATTTGCTGATCATATTTGCTTAAATGGAAAAAAAGGCGTTAACAGCCAAAATGTCATGTGATGAACTTGTATTTGATCATGTGATGTCAAGTCTTTTTTCTCAATTAAATTTGGCGCATCTTTTTTTCCTGGACAGGGATTTAACTTCAACAGTGCAATTCTGTCTGATTACAAAATGTATGTCTCTTTTTATACGTGAGAATGTAGTGAATTCTTCCTTTTGGTGTACAAATGTGATGCGATCAAGCTAAATGAGTTGTTTGTCGACCCTGGTCAATTTATTTTTACAGAATTGAAAAGAGCACAATCTCAGCATTTACTGATGTGAAAACCACATGCTGATACCATCTTTAGTTCAAAAATGATGGAAGTCGAAACACCAAGAGATGTGATGAAGTGTTGTGATGAAGTGACCCTATTTTGGCCTGAATCTCCAAATGAACATTCCCGACAAACGACTCATTTAGCTTGGTCGCATCACAAATGGTCCAAGCATGTGGACGTGACTCCAATGTTAGCGTACAGAAGACTGCCCTATTCTCCGCAACTCCTGGCGCAGAATGCAGACCTATAAACGGATTAAGCGTGGGTTCCATTATACATGTACATGTAGTTGTTACTTAGACACTTTGTTGCAAATTCATCTCACCTATGAAACCAACTTTTCAACTCGTTACCCACAGCCACTGATGGGTAGAACCTCTTGGAACGGAAATACTTCAGGAGTTCAGTGACCAGCTTGTTACTTTGATCACTGACAGAAAGATCCTCTGTATCGCAGTGGAATGTTTGCAGGAGTTTCAGGCAGGTCTGCTCAGTGGGGCAGGTGCCGCGGCTGTACAGGTCCTGGAGAAGCTCTTCAACCAGGTTGAAGTCTCCCGAATCACAGGCAGCACAGATGATGTTCTGATAATTGCGGGCTGTTGAGGCATCAAGCTGCTTCAAGTCCTCTAGGAATTTCAGGCTCTCCCGCCATCGGCTGGTTTGACAGAAGCCAGCGATGAGATTGCTAAGCACTCCGTCGTCCAGGACAGGGTGGTTGGCCGCAAACCACTCCTGGACCGAGAAGAGCTCTTCGTGGTTGCCTTCCCTGACGCAGAGGTACAGATAGGAGCTCATGAGGGGATACGTCAGGGGTGAACCCTCTTGGCAAATGAACTCGAGGAGAGAGCGTCCTTTCTGGAAGAAGGACTTACTGCAGAGGCGAGCCATGGTGCGCGACTCAAAGAGTGTCTGGGTCTGATAAGGCTTGGCATTCTGATTCCATTCCTCCTTCAGTGCCTTCCACTGCTCTGTTGATAAGTACTCATCTGCTTCCTGGAGATCTTCTAAAGATGCCTCGTTCCCTACGTCTTTCCTGGAACTTGTGCCTAATGTGCCTTCCTGATTACCATTTCTGGTCCCTGCATCGATCTTGCTGTGTTCCTTTTCCAGGATTTGGTCCAATAACACAACACTTGATGTGGACAAGCTTCGCGAAACTGACAGACCAACATCCAGTTTGAGTTGTCTATCGAAAACACCGATTATCTTAGGAAGCTGTAGCAGTTCTCCCCTTGTGGAAAATAATCTGCCTGAAGAATTCATCAAAGTCTTAACAGCGGGTTTGACAGCTGGCCGTCTTAGGTGCGCTTCCAATGTCCACATTTGTCTCGCCGTTCCAGGACGGACACAAATCTGGGAGCATTTCTTCCAGCAAAAGGTGTGATGCCTGATGAGACTGTTTGTAGACATCCTGTTGCCTATGGTATTGAGAATGCTAGAAGTATTCATGGGGACTTGAAGAATCAACTGCATGTAAAGAAAACAGAAATTTTGAAGACATAAATGTGAATTTGACATATTTTTCAGAAATATGTATGTACCGGACAAACTGTTCATGTCACCTCGTGCAGCAGTCATGTACGCACTGTACCGAGCGCTGTCATCAGATCAGTAAATGTCACGAATACTAACGATTGAATTTGAAAACTGGTTCGTAAGGGAATGCGTTATAAGCGCGTTGGCTAAACATGCCACTTTTGCACTTCTTCAGATTCCAATGGTCCCAGTGCTACTCCGTGTGCAGTGGGCATGGTGTAGTTGAAATGACGTCACACTTAATACGAACTGATGGATTCAGCTTTGAACATGTTGAACTTGCAACTAAGTTTTCATATGAATATGTGCACAAATTAACCCGTACTTTGGATGTAAACACAGTCATGTCAGTATGCGTAGCCAAGAAGAGTACAGCCTCTCACACCTTACCCACCCACTCGTACATGGAATGATGTATGCAAGTCACCATCAATACTGCTATTAGTTTATGTTTGAAATAAAACAAATTGACGAATTAATCAATTGAGTATGGGCCAAGATATTGCAAAATAATTCAATAAACATGATAAATGCATAAAGAAATTGTTATAAAAAATAACTGTAATGAAAAAAATGTAGATCTATTTGTCAAATACATATCTGATGATTCATAACTGTATGACGAACCATGGATCGAGCAATTAGGAAGGGACAGGACGAACTCGCAACATGCACACGTGCTTTATTACTGCAAATAGGTCAACTTTGTTTGGGTCACCAGAGGTTATTGAACTTTTTCCCGATGGCCGATGTCGTCGTCCAATCAGCGCGCTTCATTTCATTCAACATGGCGACTTCCTTGTGTCAGCTTCAGATCGAGAAACACCAACAAGCAAATTTGTAAAACTCAACATTACTCAGTTTTGTTGATAAACTTCTCTCAGCGCAATGGATTGGGTCAAATCATTGAAGGAGTACAATGCTGAGAAAGGGAAAAGTGAGTGCCTGATCGTTTGTCATTCCTGAATTTAAACGTTAAATCACTCGACATGCTCGAGGCAGAGTATCGGACGTGTATTTCCGACACACGCTTTGTTAAAGCATAGAGCTAGGACCCGGGGAATTAGGCATAAAGTTATCCCCGAGAGTTTAATGTTTTGAATTGTTTACTTATACTTTTTTGATAATCCTTACTTTTAGGACCCTGTTCCTATATAGGAAGGGAAAGACTCACCAAAACAGTTGACTAAATGACACTCAAAATTGACATTATGATATTTTTGGCACATCTGAACAATTGGCAATGACACCTCACATACAAACTTATCGCGAAAATTCACCTATGCAAATTGGGGTCAACACGCCCCTCATTATGACGTCAACGTTGAGTTCGTGCTTGCGCTCATGCCATCAATTTCGGCCCGACTCACTTCAGTTTTATGAATGAAATCATTATGCGTCGGAGAGTGAACATGCCAGAAATTTACAGTAGAAAAGCTCATGATATCTGCTTTCTTTTGCCGAAGAAAGCTTCAAAATCGATGAACTATTGCCTGAGTTTTGACAGTTCAAACATTTTTTAGCGTGTTTTTTTTTAGGAACCAAAACTTCTTATTTTTCGACGGAGTCCATCTTTTTAATCCTAAATTTCTTTCTTCTCGAATTTGGTTGGGGAAAACCTGAATTAGTTCCATATAGAACAGGTTTTCAGCTTTTTAGTGGTGTGGCACATGTGGGTGGTCGGTCTGATACGGCGATGGTCGCGAGCAATATGCATAAAAATTGCTCGCTAGAACTGCCCAAAATTGCGAATGATAGTGAAGTAATCACGTGATATAAACACGTGCAACGTGCATGAGATATATATAGCTCAGTGGAAGACGGTTACGAAGATTAAAGGGATCCCGTTTGATTAAAGGGATCCCGTTTGATGAAATGTGTGTGTGTCTCTTTTTTTCTGTCCCTTTCCCCCTGTATCCCGATGCGACGGGGTTGGGCGGTGGGTTGGGGTGGGGATGGCCCGCGGGTGGGGCGGGGGAGGCCTGCAGGTGGGGTGGGGGAGGGGGAGGGGGAGGGGGAGGGGATGGGGTGGGGGCGGGGGAACAAAGACACAGTGGGTGGAATATGCACATTCTTTGGGTGAAGGGCCATTGCATATATCCAAACACCTTGAGGGGTGGGGTGGGGTCCCCTGGGTGGGGGGAAAGGAACGGGAGGGGGGGTACTGAGAACCAGGATAATGGAATATTTCCTGTCTTTCATTTCTAACACCTGCACCATATCAGGACCCCATGGAAGGGGAGTGCACATAAGGGGTTGCCGGTGGAGGGGTGGGGGGGGGGCGTGGGGGAGGATGCCTCGCGAGTGTAGAGGGGGGTCGGGGGTAGAGTACTCAAAACCAGGAAGCTTAAAATCCGGGGGGGGGGGGGGGGGGGGGCTCAAAAGGAGGAGGGTGGAATTTCACATTTCCTTTTCTTTTTTTCGGTCCTTGCAACATATCCCGACCCTAGTGGCCGGTGGGTGGTGGGGGCCCCCACCAACACAGAAATCTTGATATGCAAATTAGGTAAACAGCGCCGCTCATTATAGCATCATCATGAAATTCTTGCTGACGCGCATGCCATCTACTTCGGCCAATTTTCGGCCAGACTCCTTCAGTTTTATGAATAATATCACTGTAGGCCTACATCAGAGGATGCACCTGCCAGAAATTTACATGCTGAAAGCAACAGAATGATGTCCGCTTCCTTTTGCCGAAGACAGCGTCAAAATGAAAGGGTGAGTTTTGACGATTAAAATATTGTTTTCGCGTTTTCCTTTTTGGAACTCAAACTTCGTATTGTCCAAGGGAGTCCATCTTTTCAATCCTGTTTTTCTTCCTTCCAACATTTTGTTTGAAATCAAATGAATTAATTCCGAGTAGTTGAGTTTTTTAGCTGGTGAATGGTGTGGCCTAAGTGGGTGGTCGGTTTAATAGTGCGATGGTCGCGAGCAAAATGCATGGAAGTTTATCACTGGAACTGCCAAAAATTGCGAATGATTGTCAATTCGTCGCTTTGCTCACGAAGTGACAAAAACCTAAAAAATTGACAAAAGTTCATTCTGAGATAATCGCATTTGAAGTTATTCATTTTTTCAAAAGACATTTTCGACCACTTTGCAGTAACAGATTTCGGATTTTTTTGCATTGTCCGATAGGATATGATTTGCTCTTTGTTAATTCATAGTTGTTTGTTAAAAATAGTTCGTAATTAAACAGTAATTCATTAATAAAACTTTTTTGCACTTCGTGAGAACATCAAAACTTTGGGTCCCATATTTTGCTAATTACTTTGTACACAGTTTTTGTCACTTCGTGGGATTTTTTTTCGACGCAACAAACTTGTTACATTTGCGCGTCACGACATTCTAGCGCGCGCGTCTGTTCTTTTTCAACATCGTTCGTGTGCGCGTGTATGCTCCCATCCTTCCGCGTGTAGACCATTGTATAATTTCTGGCCCTGCTCACGAAGTGACTTTTTGTCACTTCGTGAAAACATTTTACACATTTTTACACTTGGTGAAAATGAAAATCACCGATTTCAGGCTTTTGTCAATTGTTTGTTTACAATAATTAGGAAAGTAAACAATATTTTGCCTTGAAACTTGGTCAAATTGTTCCTGGAGACAACTATAATAAAATGGCTAGTAAAACTCAAAAATCGAATAATTATCGATTTTCGAGGTTTTGTCACTTCGTGAGCAAAGCGACGAATTATTGATCACGCCGGCTATATCCGGCCCGCCGGCACCGCGCGCGTTCTAATAAAAACCCAAGATTAATAAAATGATCGGTTACACCTCTATGTTCCGACACCCCTATGTTCCGACTGCACATATTCCTATTCCTAACCCTAACCCTAACCGGGAGTAACACAATCTAGGTTGTCGGAACATAGGGGTGTCGGAACATAGAGCAGTCACCAAATAATCAAGATGTTTTGTTTTCTGATAAATGATGTGACTTTATTATTGGGAATACCACTTTCTTTTTTCCTTTCCCCTGCCCTGGATACCATATTCCGACCCTGGGGATGGGGCGGTGGGGGGGGGGGGGGGGCGGAGCGTGGTGTTCAAACCACGCCAAGAGGGCTAAAATTGTTTTTTCCAACAAGTGAAGTTTGTCTTTTAATTTGGTGCAATGACGTTCCCGACCAGACTTTCTTTTACTGCGATATCATGGACCGGGCCGGGGTTGAGGCGGGACCGTATCATAAGTCCGACGCCTCATAGGTCCGACGCCTCATAAGTCCGAAATTTCGGACTTATGAGGCGTCGGACTTTATTTATTCCGCCTCATAGATCCGACGCCTCATAAGTCCAACGCCTCAAAAGTCCGACAACGGAAAAAAACGAGTGTCGGACTTACGAGGCGTCGGAGCTATGAGGCGTCGACCTATGAGGCGTCGGATTTATTAGGCGTCGGACCTATGAGGCGTCGGACTTATGGGCCTTTATTTGGTTAGGGGATGTGATTTTGTCGGACTTATGAAGCGTCGGACTTATGAGCGGACCCCGTTGAGGCCGGGTAGGGGTTGTGGGGGGGGGGGGATTTCCAAAACAAAGAGGGTGGAATGTCCTTTATGTTCTTTTAGTTATTAATCTTAAGACGTGCTGCTCTTTGGGGAGAGAGGTGGTGGGGCCGCATGAGTCGGGGGTGGGGGGGGGGTGGGGGGGGGTTAAGGTACTCCAAACCAGGAGGGTTGAATATCCCGGGGAGCATCAGAAGGGGAGGGCCTGGAATTTCCCAATCTTCTTTTGTTTTCATCATCATTATCATCATCATCATCATCATCATCATCAGACGTCGTAGGCTACTGCCCGTTGACGCAACAACCGTCCACTTCTTCTGGGTTGTGTGACTGGTGAAGGGGTGATTTCCTTCGCTGAAGGGTCGCCGCAGTTAGTTTATCCACGCTGAGACCGCTCCATCTGGTGAGGCCGTCGATCCAGCGGAGTTTGGTCATTGCATTATATCCCGACCCTTGGAGACAGAGGGTGGGGGCCCCGACAAACTATTCACAGAAACCTTCGTATGCAACTAGGCGAACAGCTCCGCTCATGATGACGTCATTGTCAAGTTCTTGCTTCATTACGCGCATGACATCGTCTTCGGCCAATCTCACTGGGAGTCCATCTCTTCAATCCTATTTTTCTTCTTTCCAACATTTGGTTCGAATTCAAATGAATTTATTCCGAATAGTTGAGGTTTTCAGCTGTCGAATGGTGTGCCACATGTGGGTGGTCGGTTTGATAGTGCGATGGTCGCGAGCAATATGCATGGACATTTTTCGAAGGAAATGCCAAAGGATTGCATATTCTTCAAGTGATTTTATTCAGACTTGCTTGCCCGTGGGTGGAGGGGGGGGGGGACGGGTTGGATTCCCAAAACAAAGAGGATGGAATATCATTCCTGGGAGAGAGAGGGGGAGAGAGAGGTGGAGGGGTTATCGTACTCCGAACCAGGAGGGCTGAATATCCCCGGGAGAGCCGCAGATTGGGAGGGCCTGGAATTTCTCAATCTTCTTTTGATTTGGTCCTTGCATTATAATCCCGATCCTTGGGGCAGAGGGTGGGGGCCACGACAAACTATTCACAGAAACCTTCGTATGCAAATTAGGTGAACAGCGCCGAATTTTATGACGCAATCGTCAAATTCTTGCTTTAAAATACGCGCATGACATCGTCGTCGATCAATTTCGGCCACTCTCGCTAGGAGTAGGAGTCCATCTCTTCAATCCCGTTTGTCTTCTTTCCAGTATTTGGTTCAAATTCAAATGAATTTATTTCGAATAGTTGAGGATTTTAGCTGTCGAATGGTGTGCCACATGTGGGTGGTCGGTTTGATTGTGCGATGGTCGCGAGCAATATGCATGGACATTTTTCGAAGGAAATGCCAAAAATTGCGAATGATCAGTAAGTCTGTATACAGTATACACGTACGTACGTGCAGCAGAGCAGGGGATCTACCCGATGTTCCCCAATACCGATGTTCCCCCAAATCCATAGGATTAGGGTTAGGGTTAGGGTTAGGGTTATATTGGTAAGGATTTCGAGGAACATCGGTATTAGGGAACATCGGAATTGGGGAACATAGACATGCACCCGTGCAGGAGCTATGGAAGAAGCGTTACAAAGCAAGGATTCCGTTTGTTGATGGCCTTTTTTTTCGTCCCTTACTATCCCAAAGCGACGGGACGGGGTTGAGTGGGTGGGGTGAGGGAGGCCCGCGGGTTGGAGTGCAGGTTGGAAGGGTGGGGAGATAGGGGGCGGTGCACCGGGAACACTCCATGCACATTTTTTATTGACCCTTTTGGCCTTGCCAATTATCCCGACCCCTTGGGGCGGGGCGGGGATAAAATTTCCTTTGTTCCTAAGTTTTCCTTTTTTTCCGTGCACCATTATCCAGACCCCGGGGAAGGGGGCGTTAGGGACGGGGGGAGGGGCGAATGGGGGATGGGGGCAAATGGGGGATGGGGCCGCGTCCCCACTTCTACGCCTGTGCAATTAAGCGTGGGTGTGCGTGTGTGTGTGTGGGGGGGGGGGGGGGGAGTTTAGAGTACTCCGAATCAGGAGGTTGGAATATCATGGTTTTTTTTATTCACCCTTTGCGCTGTCCCCTGGCGCGGAATGGAATATGGGGTGAAAATATCTTATTTTCATGCAATGATGTTTTGGGTTTTTTTTGGGGGGGGGGGGGGGTCTTTATACGAAAACTTAAAAACAGTAATCATGAAAAATATAAAATTTAATAAAAATGCAAATTGCAGAAACGAATATCTCATATCTATTTTGTGAAAATGTTGTGGCTCTGAAAAGAGCCGTTTTGGTTTTAGTTTGTTGATTCGATGATTTCTTCGAAGGCTTGGCCGACACTCTGCTTGCTCGATGTGTTCTTGCTGGCTGGCTTCTTGGCTGGCTTGGCTGGCATGGCTTGGTGGAGGATTTCTTGACAGATGTATATTTGACTTGGATGGCGTTTTCTTGGCAGCTTTCTTGGGTGACTTCTTCGGCGCGGGTTTCTTGACTTTATTCACCATTTTGGCTTTCTTGGCTTTTCTGCAATCTTGGCTTTCATTTCCTGTTCCTTCTTGGCCTTGATTCTCTCCTTCTCCTTAGCTGCATTAGCCTTTGCCGGCAGCCTTCTCTTTCTCCTCGGTGGTGTCAAACTTGAACGTACCAGCGGCTCCCTTACCTGCCATCCGAGTGAGCCTCCAACTTCATTGATTCATGTTTTATTATTTAAAAGTTTACTCTAGCATGGCTGATTACACAGAAATTCTTAGGGTGGATTATCTGGATCCGCACGTCCGTACCCCCGTGGGCGTACCAAACACCTCCCGCATGCAAAAAAAACCATATCTTTTTTCGCCTCTTTGGCCGACGTTCTGACTTGGTGGGTCCTTTTTCCGCAAGTTCAGAATATTTTCTCTAAAAATTGGTGCAAAATACATGTATTTGAAATGCCTTCCTTTGTCAGAAACCAACAAAATAGAAACTGCATTCTCATGTTTAGACGATACACAATGACATCAGAGGAGAATAACAATCAGTACTGACGAACTATTCGCTCACAAGATGCCTTTGATCACTAGTTCTCCATAATTATTTAGAGTATTTTGTATTCGGAGTATTCATCATTTTCCATCGTTTCTGACCTTTCAATAACATTGGACTTAAAGGGAAATCTTAAGGGCTCCGCTAAGCCTCATATAATTATGTCAGACGCATATAGGCCCCAAGTCCGGCAAAATCTAATATAAGGCCCATAACTGTTATAAAATTCCGACGCCTAGGTCCGACACCTCATCAGTCCGACGCCTAATAATTTGGAAATTTCGGACTTCCGAGACGTGGCGGGGGTCCAGGTTTATCATCGGAGGAGTCGGACTTGCGATATATAGGCCTAAGGCCCCGACCTTGATAGTATAGCCTCCCATGCAGCTACGGAACAACTCGAAATTTGGTTAATCAGGGTATATATATTGTTTTATTTCGTAGTACTATGCAGTTTTCTTTGACCATGGAGGGATGGTTTGACTTTCAGGTTTTGAGTTATCAGTGTTGACTTTATCCAGATTTCGCTTATTCCAATTTGTCAGCGTTTTCACGAAGGGGTGAATTTGCCGCAATAGGTGTTGGGGTTTAACGGTTAGGGTTAGGTTTGGGGAACAGGTATAACATAATGCACCCGTTGAACTTGCAGTGGTTGTCAGAAAAGAGGTTTTAAGTTGGTCACGATTTGGAATAAACATTTCGCATACTACTGACTAACTTTTGAAACACAGATGAAACTTCAAAGATGTACCAATTACAGAATAATGGAACAACAATTGCGAGGTACCGGTATCGTAACTAATCCCCATAGATGTTTGTCTGGTCGTGAAAACTAAATCCCACACACTTGTTGTTTTGGCAAATTGCCGATACCCATTCCCCACCCTTTGCACGAATTTGTCTCTTCGTAAAAAATCAAAAGACATTCAGGTGAAGTTTTCTCAACATTGATTGTTATGATTTCGTTGATTTTATCTGATTTTGACCCAGACTTCTTTCCAAAAAATGTTCGTTGCGTGCAATTTCAGCCGGAACAAGAATTTTGAAAAAAGGTATGATTTTTGGATTGATAATTTAGTCCCTCCGTAAAAACGCTGAAAACCTTTTGCAATTTGATTCAAAAATTTCAAAACTATTTTTTAAAAGACTTGTCATGCTTACTGCTTACTGCTTACTTACTCTGATTCGATTTTTAAAGAACGGGTTTTTGACTATGTATTAGCCTGGGGGAGATTATAATCTGGATTGTTTGTTTTGCGTCTGTTCTTTGACGACTCTTCGGAATTGCCCCCATGATCTACCCCTTTCGTGAAGTTGGCATCAAGTGTATTTCCTTTTATTTTCATGCCTTTGTTGTTATAACTTCTCGACATTATTGACAAGTGGTGAACATTCATATTCGTACTTGTATTAGTCATCTAAGTTAAAAGCAAACACATTCTTGTCCTGGTGTAAATCAAAGAGTAAAAACAGTAAAAACAGCATGCAAGAACTGACAATAGTAAAACTTACATTTAAATTAACCTATGAATAAAATATGCCTGTAAAACACAATAATTTTTAAAATGATAACATAAAGACTGATAGCAAAAAGACACGATGCCTATCCGCCCTGGGCTAGCACTATGACAATGAAATATAACTTTAAAAATATGCCGGGGAAAAAAGGATAAAGAACTTTAAAAATGTTTTTTTTTTCCATCGTCGTAAAATACTAAAAACTACAGGTGCAGATTTTGAAAAGTTATTAAACTTAAATAAAGTTATTTCGTACTGTGTTTTCCAGTGGCTAATTCACAACAAATGATGTAGAGATCTAAACGGTCTTTCATATTTGCTGTATTATTATGTAACTTTGAATATACATGTAATGCCAAATTGCATTTTGGTCAAAAATAAAATGAAGCAAGCTTCGAGTCGAACTCCGATTTGAAAAAATTGACTTGCTGAAGCTCGCCGATCCCCTGGATCATCCAATACATGTACATACACGTATACGTATTTGTATGCAGCATGTATGCATAGTGCCTGGCCGTGGCGTGGGAACGTATCAGATTACATATCGGCCGACCGCAATATCGATCGGTTCAAAAATAGATGGTCCGCGCGGGAATTGACCTGGATTGACCCGCAAACGTTCGGGTTGTCTGTGACGTAGGCAAGTCACCGACATATTTTTCTAAAAATGACTGCAAGTGCGCAGGCGTGCAAATTCCCGCACGATGCATAGGCCAAGTTCGTATGTGCACCTTCTTGAATATCAGCAGGTTTAATTTTGTGGAAAGAGGGCAGGGCTTTGATTTATGAAGGAAATTCAGGGGTAAAAGACGACGATGACAACCAGAAAACAGACTCAAAAACCAAGATGGCAAACGTGAAAGCTCGATGCGATGAAAGCTCGATGCTGATTGGCTGATAAAAAATAAACATCTTATTTATTTTTTTAGCAGCCAATCGGCATCGGGCTTTCATTATGTAGGGCTTTCACCCGTGTGAGAACTACAACATGCACGTCTGACTGCGAAAAAAGGTAGGAAAGTCACATTTTCTTTGAAAGTGCTTTCAAAATTACAACTAACATGAGTTATGTGAAGAAAAAAAGACTGCTTTAGCCTGCAAAAGTCACTTTGGTACTGGACAGTCATCTGCAAAAGTCAGTTTTGAACAGAACTCGTAAAAAATAGAGGTGTCCTAAAAGTAAGGATTACCACTTTTTTAAAGGTGAAGTTGAAAGGAAACTTTTTTTTTTTACTCACCCTGTTCAAGTTAAAGGTCACTCACAGTGATGTCAGCAAAATTTCTTTGGCAGAGGGTAAAGTACATACGGTATACTTTTAGAATTAGAAGGTACCTTTCTGTCAGCTAAAAACAGAAAGGTGACTTCTAATTCTAGAAGTAAAATACATAATGTATCAAGTAATTGTATGAACATTATTTCCAGTACTCAGCGTAACATTTTTTCTTGTTTGTATTTTTCATTCAAATTTTCAGAGAAAAGTGAGAGTGAGGTCAGAGCGGAAGAGATGGAGACTTTTACCAAGCTCTACACAGAATTGAAAGGTCCCAACAAACAGAAAGACAAGAGCTACTCAGTCATCCCTAGGTTCTACTACAAGGTGAGCCCTTGTGGAAACAGATTTTTTTGCTGATTGTCACCCCTTAAAGGGAATATACATCATTTGCTTTTGCTGTAATTTTCAGAAATGGATGGAATTGGGGGGTTGGAAATATATAGCAAATATAGTTACACTGACTTTTTTGAGGTTTTGGGTTCGAAAATGCTATAAAAACCAAGAAAAACAATCATTTTCCTGTAGTCTGGTTCCCTGACTCCATATAAGAAGAAACAGAGCAGTTTACATACATTGGGGAATTGTAAGGTCAGGGAACCAGTCTAGCTGGCTTGTACCAGTTCATAGGTGTGTAATCGATTGCAAACAAGTGCGATGGTCAGTTGGAGCCAGTATTTGAAAAAAAAAGCCAGTTTTTTCCAACGCTGATCGGCCGATCAGCGTTGGAAATTAATACAACAATAGCACTTTTCTTGAAAATGACAGTATACCAGGTGCCATGATTTTACAGGATGCTTTACACTGTCATTCACTAACAGTCTAGCAAGGTATTTCAAAATGATTTGGTAGTTTTATTTTTTGATGTTTGCAAATGTTGTATTTTCCCTTTAACCATAATTGATGCTACGCGTACTTCCTTCTTCAGCCAATATGGCCCATCAGGGCGGCGTTTATCATGTTTATCTCCGGTTTCAATAGCATGAAACGACTGAGAATATTTCTATTCCCGTAGATGGGATGCCAGGCCATCGCAGGTTACTCCTCAGCTAATGCTGGTATCCTTTAGGTGGAGAGAGGCAAGTGAGGATGAAGTGGCTTGCCCAAGGGCACAACATATGGCCAGCAGCTGGATTCGAACCCCTGACCCTTTGATAATGAGTCACGAACCACAGCCGCTAGGCCATACTTCCCCGTTGCTTCTTCAACTCGGGTTGAATCCAAAATTAGGGCTGTCTTGAATATACAGAATATTCAAATATTTGATCGTCAACCGAATATTCAAATAGCTGTTTTCCAGTTAAAATATTCAAAAACAACATGATTGTGATGTTATTTTATCGTATAGTTCGGTGCTTTATTGTCAGGTGCCACTTTTTGTCGACGGTAATTTTTTTTGGCGATGGCGATTTATTGTTCCCATCTTTTTAAAAGCAGGTTCAAGCCCTTGATAGTTGTAAAATACTGCAAAACACTCTAGCGGCCCATATCGATTGCAGCGCGCAATTTAATGGCGTGCTCTGCGTGCAGCTTTTGACCCGCGTGGCACGTAGCTGTAGGTGGCAGTTTCAAATATCCCAATATTCGGTCAAATGCAGTTTCAAGTACCTGTAAATGATTCCAAAATGGACAGCCCTACAACTTAGTTCAAGTATCAACCCCTTATTGACTTCAAAAGAGATCAAAATAATTATTCGTTCACAGTGTGGTATTTGCGTGAGATCAAGTGCACGTCCTGGTGAAAAGTACACCCAGGTTGATTTCAGCATGCAACATGTATGCGTTGCTAATGTGAATAGAATAAAGTACGAGGTTTTGACAAAGATCAAATCTGAAATTGGAGTAGTGTGAAGAAATTGTTATTGTCAAGCACTTTGGAATTTGGCTGTGCAAGTGTATGTACAGTAGAAGTATTTTGTTCGATTGCTTGATGATGCTTATGTACAGTGTACATTGTAATTGTGGACATTTTTATGACAGTTGTTTTCAGATTTTTTCAATATATTTATTGTGACAGCTTCCCAGTGAAGATGAAGTTTTGCTTCAAAAGCTCAGAGAAGAATCAAGGTATGTACAAACTACAATGTATAAGAATAATAGTCTTTGTTATTTTGTTTTTACATGTATGTATGTGGCATAAAGTGGGAGGGAACATTTGATTTACAAAAAAAGATCTCCATCATCGATTATAGATACCAGTCCACATTTCATCAAAAGATACATTTTATTGAGGCAAAGCCCCCTGCCCATTTGTGGACCTATAAACAAAGATAGAAATGTGATACATTAATTAATACTGTACATTGAAAGCAAAAATTAATCCTAGCCCTTGGGCTTTTTGGCTAGGAAACATCCTCAATCCTTCAAAATCCTCCAAAATATTGCACTTATGTTCAAAAGAAGGATACCTAGTGCCTCAATCCTTCAAAATCGTCAGACAGTCCTGCCTCAAAACTGCATCCTCCATCCTCCACAATCCCCCTCTTCCTCAAACACCATTCATCCTCAATCCTCCAAAACCGCCATGAGGATTTTGGAGGATTGAGGAGGGTTTAATAGGGTTGTTAATACTAGTTTCGTCATTGCACCGATACAAAATTGCTCAGACTTTGTGATTTATCTTGTTGACTTGTTACCTGCATAAAACGAACATGTGGTTCTTGTCAGAGGGGCTGGTGTTTGGCTAGGATGTTCAGGGTCAATAATTCAACCCAGGCTAAAGGGGTACTCGGCACGTTATTCGGCTATGTTTGCATGAGGATCTTGTGGAATATAAAATTCCTCTTTTGGTAAGTAGGGTACTCAAAAAGCCTTAAACTATTTTCAGTTGGATTAGGGATTTGTTGGTCAAAGGGAAAGGGTCAAGTGTCAAGGAGAACAGAATGTACAGGCAATTTTAGAATGACTTATTATGGTTGTTGGTTTGAAGAAGTCTGATGGATCTTTCTTGTTTTGCCATTGCAGGGCTGTGTTTCTTCAACGGAGGAGCAGGGAATTGCTTGACAATGAAGAGTTGCAAGTAGGCCATACTTTTTCATTTCTTAGTTTTGCACAAGTCTTAACCCACTCAAACTTAGGTTTTTTTTTTTTTTTTTTTTTTTGTAGTCTGGTTCTCTGACCCTACCTCAGATGAAACGGAACAATTTACAAACTTCGGGAAATTGTCAGGACAGAGAACCAGACTATTAACTTGCTTGCTTGCAGCCGTTCACAGATGTGTAACCGATGGCAAACAAATTGTGGACTAACTGAATGTGGTAAATTGGTGGCAGCATTTGAAAAAAGTCAGTTTTTTTTCTACAATGGCCGGCCGATCGTTGCAAATTGATACAAAAATTCCCCTTTTCTTGGAAATGACAGCACACCAGGTGCCATGATTTCACAGGATGTTTGACACTATTGTTCACGTGATATCAAGTGATTGGAAAAGTGGTCAAGACATGCAGGGATGGGTAAAATAATGATTTATAAACCTATCTGTGTTAAACAGTTTTCTTACATCAGGTAATATTGTACTTGCTTTTTTGGCATTTTCCCCCAGAACCTGTGGTTCTTATTGGACAAGCACCATACCCCACCGATGGTTGGTGAGGATCAGATGATCAATTATGAGGATTTCCTCAAGGTGGCTACAGAAGCTGGGCCCAAATGCAAGTAGGTGTCTCCAGGCCTGTACATTTGGGCTGTATTTTATTTTCTTGGCAATCGCAAATCTAATTTATACAGCCTCTGTGTTGTTTTATTGTATTCATGTATGTATCAAGTCCTTTTATTTTAGCAAATGTCTATTTTGTATTGTATTCTACATTAGTTATGGTTTGCTTTTAAGCCTTTCAACAAATTGTTTGCTCTCAACATGATAATTCAAAATACTCAATGCTATATATCCACAACTGTAGAAACCATATTGAATCAAAATATAATCGGATTATGTAATTTCACTAGCCGCAAAATCACTAATAATGTTGCATTCTGTTAAATTGTCATTTAACCTTGATTCAACTAGCCCCAAAAAGACAAAGTGCAATTTACAAATGTTCATCCAACTATCATCAAACCATAAAATGAGATGATGAGTTAATAATGTTCAACTATTGAATTTGTTATATACATGTGTAAAAAATAACTTTGATTATTTGTATAAAGAGTAGTCATCTTTATTCTTTGACATTCACAAAGGAGTTTCATGCACAAATATTTCAGTTCTTTATGTCATGAGGTAAGTTGTTTCTGAGAAATTGTGCCATTTTAACACATTATCACCTATACTACATTGTTTTTATTTCCTGAGAAATCCCTAAAAACCATAGAGTGCTTCGGCAGTTTGAGTCATTACAGGGATTAATAGGCAGGGCTGTTTGGGGCAATACAAGGACTAACGTGTTATTCAATTTTGTATTTGATTTTGCCACACGCTTTGTTGTTGTTTTCTTTCAGACCTTTCTTTACAGCCACAGTCTTTGCCAAGCTGCTGCAGACGGATCCCTACGGTAGGATATCCATCATGCAGTTCTTCAACTACGTCATGCGCAAAGTGTGGTTGCATCAGACGCGCATCGGACTCAGTCTGTATGACGTGGCCGGGCAGGGCTATCTGAAAGAATCGGTGAGTCAAGCATTCCATTTTGTACCTCGATTGTCTACAAAAAGACACCTTCTGGCCCAAAAAATACAGTGGTTTGTTCAGAGAGATCTCCTGTCAGCTTAGAAACTACATGTTTTCCCAATGAAAACGCTAACATGTCAACAATTGAAGTCTTTTGTAACAGAAAAAAGATTTCGATAAACAACTTTCAAGGACTGTTTTTTTTTACCTTTTTAAAAACCTGGGGCCAATTTCACGGTGCTGCTAATCACAAAAATTTGCTTAGCACAAAAAAAGTCTGGCTTATAAAAGCAGGTCATCAGCCAAAACCCCATGTGATTTTATGCTAAGCAAACAACAGCTGAATACTAATCACAAGCAATATACATCACGTGGAGTTTTGGCTGGTAACCTGCTTTTATAAGCCTGACTTTTTTTTGTGCTTAGCATATTTTTGTGCTTAGCAGCGCTGTGAAATTGGCCCCAGGTTTTTATACTTGTGATTTAGTTGTGACTGGACTTATGAACTGACTTGTGATTTACTTGTGACTGGCTTTATGAATTGACTTGTGATTGTTTACGTGGCAAATGCTTGTATTTCTTTTTTTTGTTTTTGTTTTTTCAGGATTTGGAGAACTATATCCTGGAATTGATTCCCACCCTACCACAGCTAGACGGACTGGAGAAATCCTTCTACTCCTTCTATGTCTGCACAGCTGTTAGAAAGTTCTTCTTCTTTCTTGACCCGATGAGAACAGGTCATTTAAATATTCGTGCCGTTAATTTGTTTACTTTATTTTAAGGTCAAAAAAGTTTGATACGGAGGCGTCCCTTTTCCCGTATGCTGCCGTTTTGACCTCGAATTGAAGCTGTAATGTATGATGTGTACCTCTTGCCATTATACCAATGACATGAACACATCTGAGTAACACTTGAGCTATGAACGTCGGCAACATATCAGTTGCCAATTATTTGCAACGTGAGTGTAACTGCAACGATATAAGGCAATCGGCATCAGTCGGTGCTAAAAAAAGTCGCAAGAGTAGAAAAACTTTTACTTCTGCGCCACGACGTAACGTGTTCCCGATAGGCCTGAATCAGTCGCAGTCCACCTGTGCGAAGTTACGACGTCATGCCCGCATCCGGAGCATCTTATTTTATTGTCGCGTCGTGGGTGACACGAGCATATTGCGATTATTCTGTGTTGAGATGCCGCTTGTTCCACGGTAATCACACGATTTGTCACTTTTGTGACCTGAGCATGACATTAAGTGCTTGATGCCGATGGTTTCGTTGCAGTGCAAGCACACACGTAGGTCGACCTTAGGGCAACTTCAGTGAAAATGGTTCTTTACTGCTTTTGCTATGCAGTAATTTTTGCTTTTTCATTACCGGAGAGCATACATGTAGTTCTGTATTTTAGTGTTATAGTCAAAATCCTTTTCTCGGACCAATAAGTATACTTTAAGGTGGTGTAGAAGAACTTGTGACTTAAAAAAACTAGACAGTGTGTTCTCTCGTCATGGGCTTTTGAGTATGGGTAGGAATCTAAGTAATTGGATGAAAAGGTAAGCTCAATGTTGTATTTCCCATATATTTATTTTTTAAAGTAAATATATGTGTACATTTCGAGACTTCAAAGGTAATCTACAAAATATGGTTTTTGCTGTAATTTTCCATAATGGATGGTTTTGGGGCTAGTATTTTATAGCAAATATTGTTACGCAGACCTGTTTAAGATTTGTGTTCATAGATGATGGAAAAACAAAGAAAAAAATTGCTGTTCTTGTAGTCTGGTTCCCTGACGCTACTTTAGATGAAACAGATTTTTTTTCTAACGATGGTCGGATGGCCATCGTTGCAAATTGATAGGAAAATTCCACTTTTCTTCAAAATGACAGCACACCAGGTGCCATTATTTCACGGGATACTTGAGACTATTATTCACTTACAGTCAAGTAGGGTATTTCACGATAATTTGGTAGTTTTGTTTTTATTTCTTGCAAATGTTGTATACTACCTTTAACAAGACTGTATTTTAATTTTTCCTTTCATGCTGGTGCAGGCAAGATAAGGATCCAGGATATCCTAGCCTGCAGTTTCCTGGACGACCTGCTGGAGTTGAGAGACGAAGACCTGCCTAAAGATGCCCAGGAGTCCAACTGGTTTTCCGCACCCTCCGCACTCCGAGTATACGGTAAGCACATTGCTCAAGTCAATAGATCACGTGGTACCAACAGCTTTTGCTGAGGACTGTTTCTTGTATCCCCCTGTTTCTTGTATTCAACTTCAGCAAGTTGAATGCCCAGTTTTGTCACAAACTATTAAGGCACATTTGGAAGCCCAATTTTCAAATGCTAACTAAAACCACTGATCTCTATGTAAAGACTGGATAGCGGATATCCATACACCAGTCACACAGTAGACTTTGCATATTGACCAATTCGCACCCGGTCTCACGAAGATGGCCGCGTATAATATGAACATTCTACGCTATGCAGCACGCGTTGTATCAACAGTTGACACGCATTTTGGTCACGTACACATATTATGATGTTCTAAAAAGAACACATTTTCATAGTGATTATTATTTCCAATATGCCGAAAAAAGGGAACTGAGGCATTAAAATAGTAAACCTACAACGTTAGAAAAATTGTAAACCTTGGTCAGTGGTGGTGGTCAAAATGTAAGTCAAGTGAACCGCGATGTTACAAAAGAAATCATGCTGTCTATAAAAGACGGCAACTTGTCCTTTGTAGATCACCAGCCAGTCTCACCGGTCTCACCAATATGGCGTCAAATTCATTCATTGTGCGGCTCTTTATCCACTATCCAGTCTTTATATAGAGATCAGTGACTAAAACCCCAAGTCTGGATAATGTTGGGAAAATATGGACGAAATTAATGCAGGTTTGATTTTTTGTTTCATTTTTTTTCTCTACGACTGTGATTGTTCCATATTGTTGTTCCCCAGGCCAGTATCTCAACCTAGACAAGGACCACAACGGCATGTTGAGCAAGCATGAGTTATCCCGGTTTGGCACGGGAACGCTGACCAACGTTTTCCTGGACAGGGTGTTCCAGGAATGCCTCACCTACGACGGGGAAATGGTAAGCCAAAGAGCAGAGTGGTAGTCATGCTCAGAAGTCTTAAAGGGAAAATACAACATTTGCAAACATCAAAAAATAAAACTACCAAATCATTTTGAAATACCTTGCTGGACTGTTAGTGAATGATAGTGTAAAGCATCCTGTAAAATCATGGCACCTGGTATACTGTCATTTTCAAGAAAAGTGGTATTTTTGTATCAATTTCAAACGGGCTTTTTTTCAAATACTGGCCCCAATTGACCATCGCACTTGTTTGCAATCGATTACACACCTATGAACGGGTACAAGCCAGCTAGACTGGTTCCCTGACCTTACAATTCTCCAATGTATGTAAACTGCTCTGTTTCTTTTTATATGGAGTCAGGGAACCAGACTACAGGAAAATGATTGTTTTTCTTGGTTTTTATAGCATTTTCGAACCCAAAACCTCAAAAAAGTCGGTGTAACTATATTTGCTATATATTTCCAACCCCCCAATTCCATCCATTTCTGAAAATTACAGCAAAAGCAAATGATGTATATTCTCTTTAACGTGAGACATTGTGTTTCCAGTCAAGTGACTCGGTGTGAGATTGGGGGGGGGGGGGTGAAAATGAAAAATCCACAAAATTATCCGCAGATGGTTTTGGGGCCACCAGTGCATTGTGAGGTCTATCATACATTTGTATTTGTTTAAAGGCATCCCATAAAGGGAATATACAACATTTGCAAACATCGAAAAATAAAACTACCAAGTTTTTACGAAATACCTTACTGGGATGTTGGTTAATGACAGTCTAAAGCATCCTGTAAAATTATGGCACCTGGTGTGAAGTCATTTTTCAAGAAAATGGTATTTTTGTATAAATTTCCAACGGTGGTCGCCCGACCACCGTTGGAAAAACCTAACTATTTTTCAACTACTGCTCCAAATTTACCATGTTTTTTTCCAGTCATAATTGTGTTTGCTATTGGTTACATGTTCATGAACGGGTGCAAGTTCATTGTTCTGCGTGTACTCATACAAACCTTCATAGGTAATGACACCTTTGTTAATATTAGGTTTTTTGCCTTTCAGCAAAACGAAAGCAATTCTCATAGGGATGCATGTGAATTGTTTTCGTTTTGCTGAAAGAACATGTACCTTTTTTGTAATCCGTGAACAGAACTTTAAAATGGTGTTTGTGTTCAAAATGCCGTAACTTGAAAAGTACATGAGTGATTTAAGTGATTCTTGTACTAACTGAAAGCTTATTGATTGAGCTTTCTTATTCTAGATTTTGAAAGTGCTACAGGCAAAACTTCATTCAAAACTTGGTCTTGCCATTTGGGATGCGTTTTTTTTTAACGCCCTGTACTGAGCAATCTTTTGTAGACCCCACTGTGTTAGTATATGGACGTTCAACTGTATTAACATTGTATTTATTCACTAATGAATCCCTGCATTCATACAGTACTAAGGCAGTTTTGGTCATACAAGGAGTAAAAGACAGGGCAGTTTGGGGTGCTACAGGGCCTACTGGGTGAATGACACTTCAGTGTCTGATTTTCTGATCTGGCATAATGTCGCAATGGCCTTCATTCATAATGTTCTCACCCAAACAGGACTACAAAACCTACCTTGACTTTGTGCTTGCCATGGAGAATCGCAGAGAGCCGCAGGCCTTGCAGTACTTTTTCCGTCTGCTGGACGTACAGGGCAGGTCCTACCTCAATGTCTTCGCACTCAACTACTTCTTCAGAGTGAGTACACGAGTTATACTTTTAATGCCCCAACTATAGCAAAGGCCCCAACTATAGTTGGGACAGTTGGAACAGTCCCACCTGTAGTTCGGACAGTCCCAATTGTAGATTGGATCGTCTCAATTATAGTTGGGGGCAATGATATAGTTGGGACGTAACAGGCTCATTCCTTTGATGGGATTTCCCACGGATTCTTTCCACTTAAAAGGTACAGTCCATCATTTGCAGCTATCCAGAAAGTAACTGGCGTAATTATTGTTGAAAAGCATACTTAGTTGAAAGATGGTAATGGGACTAAACTCCTTGTGAAATTAGTCTTTCTTGCAAACTGTCATTTTGAAGAAATCAATGAAAGAAGGCCTTTCCAACGATGCTTCTTGGAATTTTCCGTTAGTAGGTTTAGTTGTTTTTTTTAATATGGCGATGCGCACGCAGTTGCTATAATTCTTCTCTTTTTTCTTCTTCAGGCTATCCAGGAGCAGATGAGACAGCATGGCCAAGAGCCAATCTCCTTTGCCGATGTGAAGGACGAGATCTTTGATATGGTCAAACCGGCCGATCCCCTCAAGATCACTCTGCAGGATCTCATCAACAGGTCAGTGGCTGGACAGTTATCAGTGGATTCAATGGGAGACTTTTGAGACGTTGGGGGCAGCAAACACACCGGTCCCTTTTCCACTGTTTGCGTCATATTGAGCATGCGCGCTTTAGATTAAATATGACGTAAACAATTGAAAAGGACTGGTGTGTTTGCTGCCACCAACTGTCTCAAAAGTCTCCCATTATTCATATTCCCTCCGAGGGGCTCTTGACTGCTTAGGTGAAGAAGCGTATTCTATGTTTAACCCATTAGCACCTGTACTACATTGTACTACATTGTATTACATTGTACTACATTGTATTACATTGTACTACATTGTATTACATTGTGCTTATTCACTGAAGAATCAATAAAACCATAGAGTGCTTGGGCAGTTTGAAGGGTCAAATAACTGAGCAATGTATATGTGTCATATTTGTTCGTCCAAAAAATCACAAATTGGGTAAGAGTATTCTCCTGCCTAAAAGCATAGCAGCCCAATTATCACAGAAATATTGAAAAATTATAAAGCGCACGTATCCACCAGGACTGGTGCTCTAGGCGCTTCATCATTATTACCCTGCTCATTGGGCACATGAAACATTCCAAATACCATCTCAGCTCCCTGGGGAGTATACAGCTCTATGCAGCCTGTTAGGTGCAAGGAAGCTAATTCAATCACAATAACCATCACTGCCCTCACAGGTACCCATTTACTCCTGGGTGGAGAGAAGCAATGAGTGACAAAGTGCCTTGCCCAAGGGCACACGCACCATGACCCCAGGCTGGACTCGAACCCACAACCTGCAGCTTTACCCGCAGACCACGAATCCAATGTCCTTAACCACGAGGCACAGCAGTCCACAGTGTTTTCTGATGGAAACATTCCAGATATAACATATCCGAGTTTCAGCTGCTATCTCAGAATTTGCCTTTACTCACTTTTGATGATCTCATTGTTCAACCCATTAGTGTTATATTTCGAGGGCTACGGGGAGTAATAGGGAGGGCGGTTTGGGGCCACTTCATCACATCACTTCATCACATCTCTTGGTGTTCCGACTTCCATATTTTTGACCTAAAGATGGTATCAGCATGCGCTTTTCACAGCAGTAATGCTGAGATTGTGCTCTTTTCAAATCTGTAAAAAAAAAGTGACTAAGGTCGACAAACGACTCATTTAGGTTGATCGCATCACATATTGAAACATTTTTGAGATCTGGTGAATGTTTATTTCTACAGCAATCACGGTGAGACTGTGGTCAGCATCCTGATCGATCTGAACGGTTTCTGGACCTACGAGAACCGAGAGGTCCTGATGGCAGAGAACAACAACAGCAACCAGTCGGATGCCCCTCAGCAGCAGGACCAAGATATGTGAGTCGGTAGCCGACAACCGAACATTAAAGAACCACCAGTCAACTGATGTGCTGTTACCTAAGTTAACCACCTTCTTATTCATGAAAGATCAAGATACAATGGATGTTAGTCGGAGTTTACTACCACTAGTGAGAGTCACCGGTCAACTGATGTGCTGTTCTCTAAGTTAACCACCTCCTTATTCACAAAAGATCAAGATACAATGTACGTTAGTCGGAGTTAACTACCACGGTTGAGAGTCACTGGTCGACTGATGTGCTGTTGTCCAAGTAAACCACCTTCTTAATCACGAAAGATCAAGGTACAATGTTTGTTAGTCGGAGTTAACTACCACGGTTGAGAGTCATTGATCAACTGATGTGCTGATGTCCAAGTAAACCACCTTCTTAATCACGAAAGATCAAGATACAATGTTTGTTATAATTAGTCGGAGTTAACTACCGCGGGTGAGAGTCATTGATCAACTGATGTGCTGATGATGTCCAAGTTAACACAGACTGCCGTTTGAACTAAGAAGGTGAAATACATACGAGTTTGGGAATGGAACACCACAGACTTGATGAACAGAGCACTGATCAACTGATGTGCTGATGTCTAAGTTAACAGAGACTGCCTTTTGAACTAAGAAGGTCAAGTACATATTAGTTTGGGAATGGAACATCACTGACTCAATCAACAGAGCGCTGGTCGGCTAATGTGCTGATGTCCAAGTTAACCGAGACCCCCAACAGACTTAAAAAAACAAGACCTTGTTGACCACCAAGGAATAGGTAAAGGTGACTGGTCTGATGTGCTGGTGTTTAAGCCAACAGAGATTGCCTTCTGAGCCAAGGATTGCGTTATATGCGAGTCAGAGTTGACTGCCACTGATGGGGTTACTAGTCAACTGATTGTGCTGCTGTTTTAAGTTAATAGAATTTCTTAGGCACTGCATGGAGACTTTGGCGTCCCAAAGCAGTTTGAGATGTGCAGTATTTCCTACCTGTTATGTTAAATGACAGTTGAAAGATGAAGATTTAAAATTTTGACCAATACAGGTTCCAGGTTTATGTACGTGTGTTGATCTGTCTTAATGCATCTTATCCATCAATAACATTAATGAGCTTATCTAGTTGAACTTGACCCGAAAGTGTCGGACATTATTTATACTTGGTGCCTCAGATTTGGAGGACGATAGACCATTATCATGTTGGGGCCATCTTGATGTTTTTCCCATTCAAATCAACGTAACCAAAGCGAGGCTGGAAGGAAAAATAGTCTGGTTCCTTTTCGCACAAAAAACATTATCAATCCGTACTGTTATTGGATACAGGGAACATGACTGAAATGGTGGCAGCATGATGAAGGTCTATAGGCTGGCCCGTTGGGTCCAACCAGCATTGATATTTAAAAACTGATGATTGCTGTGATGTGGGACATGACGTTTTTAACACCCGAGGGGCGCATAGCACTCGAGGCGGTTAAAAACAGCATATCCCACATCACAGCAGTCAACAATTCTTTCGTTATAGGCCTATCATGCTAATAACTCAAAAAAGATAAATAGTTGTAACTTACTGTTTGAGAAATAGATAAAATCACTGCGATGTTACTTTTGATAACTGAAGGTTTTGATGTCCTGCAGGACATGAGACGATTGCAGTTCTCATTGCAAAAAGCTAGCGCGCCGACAGGTTCCACACGCTCGCGCAACGCGTGCAATGAACTCAGTGCGATATCACCCTCAGACATGCGTAACATGCGTTTGTATTGACCAGACACGTGGTCGTGCTAGACCAATGAAATTACAGTATCCAAGCACACGATGTAACAATGATACATGTACATATTTATTTATTGAGCGTAGAGAGATGTACATAATAAAATTCAGTGGACAGAGAAGAACGTTGTATTTTCTCGTTTTTGTCAACATCTGCTATACAAGTGGAATTTTCTATGTGTATGTTTATTTTTTTCCAATGCTTTGGTGTTTATGTTGCACTCTGTCACAAAAGAAAAGTGCAAAAAGACAGTTGGGCAACAACAACTCATTTGCTTTGTTTTCGTTTTGCTGAAAGAACACTCGCCTTTGTGTGATCCTTGGACAGAACTTTAAAACAGTGTTTGTGTTTCAAATTCTGTAACTTGAATAGTACTGGAGTGATTTGAATGATTCTTGTACTAAAAGAACGCTTATGAATTGGGCTTTCATATCCTAGATTTTGAAAGTGCTACATGCAAAACTTCACTAAAACAACGGTCCTGACATTTGGGTTTCGTTTTTGTTGACTCACCATACATATGAAATTGAAAGGTAGTTGGGCAACCACATCAGCGAAACAGTTTGTGCAGGAATGTGATTGTAAAAATAAAAGCAAATGTTAAGTTTGCAAGGGTTTAACCTGCAAGTATTTTGCCTGATGGGTTCATAATTTAACACAAGAATTTTCCCAAACTGAGACCATCTCCAAAATGCCCAATTTCCTCTCTGACCTGATGCAGCAAGCTCCAGAAGAACCTCGCTATGTTTACATGGGCGTCGGGTTGGGATGAAAGCCGCCATATGCTCCAATAAGAAAGCACACAGTACATGAAGTATGGCGTCTATGATGTAAAAGGTCGTTTCCTGATAGGTTTTCCCGGCCAATTTCCTAAAATTTTACTTCTGAAAATCGGTCATTCATTTTCGTCTGGATTTGAGAATCGCTCTGATCACGCGTTTCATTTTCGCTTCCAGAGCATTCGATTCCATTTCAGTTCATTAAGTGATTGAGCAGCTTCTTTCATTTATTCTCATTCAGATTCATTTTCAAGACTTCCTTTTCGCTTTTAGAGGGTAATTTCAAACATTGGCCATTCTATTTCACTGTTAGTTTAATCTTATGTGATGCAATCTGCTGTTTTGAATGAGAAAAACATACTTTTGATTGCACATTCACGAAAATGTATTCCAGAACTGCGCGCGAAAAGGTATGCTTGTGTAAATGAATGCACAGGTAACGTAATTGGCCGTCTGTTTCTCAAAACCGAATGCACGGACACTGAAAACGATTTAACTTTTGTTGAATTGAAATGGGATTGAAGACGTGCATTCATATTCAGACGAAAATGAATGACAGATTTTCAGAAGAGAAAGAAACATTTCAGGAAATTGGCCGGGAAAACCTATACTAGAATGAGCATGACAAGATATTTATGGTTGAGTCATGTCATATGTTGTATGGCCTTAACCTAAATCAGCTACAAAAACGTGTAGGTTTGCAGCGACTACAAAACATCAGTGCCAGACTAATCTTTCTCACTAAGAACTTACGCAACTCAAGAAATCCCATTTTGCAGTTGTCTCAGGTAGCAGACCAGTAAATAAACTTCCATAGACCCCAATGGTAAATGCTTCCACATCAGAAATTCGGGAAATATGTTCACAACTCTCCAAGGTGTTCGAGACACACATCAAATTGAAGCTTATTTCATCACCTTTCGGGGGGTCAACTGATGACTTGTAGGAGAAATTTCCCTCCGAAGATGATCACCCCTGAAAATAGTCCTGAAGCCTATCGCCATTTTGAAAAACGATGCCTACACTCCATTGCAAAATAGAGCGCTTTAAGGGCCCCAATTTCATCCAAATTGAACGGAACTACAAGTTCACAGTCCTGTGCACGGCTTCCACCCATATTTTTTTTTTTACAAACCCTCAAGATCATGGCCCATAGCATGCTCAAATACTGAAGATTTTGAGGGCATGCAAATCGTGATTTGGCCGGCGTAGGCAATTTCGGACCGATTTACTGGTCTGCAACCCTCAGTCACTCCTACATATTTCACGCTTCAAACCTTTTGCACTCGAAATTATGATTAAACCTCTCCCGGACTAATATTGCAAATTTGCGGGGGGTGGAGGGGGGGGGGGGCTGGACAGATTGCATGCTCATAATTACAGTCCTGGGCATACATTATGCCGACGTATTGTGTGTGCATGCTTTAAGTCCGTGAAACTATTGTAACTACCAGATGAACAATAAATATGATGGCTTCTTCATTTCACCACTACTTTTTCACCATAAAAAACTGTTAATCTCGTCTCCTCTGACATCAAAGCTTCACCGGACAAGTCCGCGCCTCCCAACGCCAGAAAACCCTCATCAGTAGACAAAATTAATCGAAAGTTTTCGCCAAAACAGCTGTTGAAAAAGAGCCCGATGTTGAAGTTTTACAGAGTCTGAAGGAACGATACTTATTTCAACTCCCGAAGATTCGCTGACAGTCTCTTTTTTTCTTTTTAAGAATGTCGAAGTAGTTGAAGACGGAGGTAAAAATCTATAAGTGCCGAAATAAAAAGAGTAGAAATCTACGCGCCTGCCTTTTCAAATACACAATTGCAGTGTTCATTAATTGTTGCGTAATGATCCGCCTAGCACACGGTTGTTTTGCACATTAGGCTGCGGTGTACAGCTTCCTAACAAATCAAACACGCTGGGATCATTATTCCTCAACTATCTACTTGTTTTCGCCCTTGGAGCTCAAGCAAATGGACCCAGTAATCTTCCTGGCGCGTTTGCTCACCTTTAAAGACAACTTTTCTCCGTTTAAGGAGAATTCTAAGGTAACGAAATGGCTGAGTGGTTACGATTCGTCGTCAACGATTAGCGGGGTCCCAGGTTCGAATCCCGCTGGTGTCTTTTTGGTTTTTAAAGTATGAGTTCAGTCATTTACAATAAGAGATTTAATTTCCCGTCGTAAATCACCAACAGTACCTTAGCTTAATCGGTAAGCACTGCTGCTGGTACTGTCCGCGAGTTCCAGGTTGGCGCCTTCGTACAGGTTCAGGGCATGTGGTCCACTCGGAGGATCAGGGCTTAGGGGCCGCCCTGTTCCTCCCTTAGCTCTTTGCTTTTACATGGTGCCTGGCCCTCCGGGGTTATATGGATGGATAGGGAAGGAAGTGTGTATTGGTCGGGGACGCCGAGACCCCGGAAGAGAACTAAGGGATCGGCTGGGGCATTGTTATGGCTCAGACCGATCCCTGAAAGCTTGACTAGCACATAACTTTTTGATTTTTTTTACCCTCTATCTTTTATACTTTGGTTTAGTTTGATATCTACAGCTGCTCGGCAGGTCTACGGGTAGTATCAAAATTGAAACAAAAGTGTTTGTCATAAATCAATGAATATTTGATAATTGACAATAATCAAAACGGAGTTTCGTTTGATCAATTTGACTATCATTATTGATGGCGCGATTGCCAATTGACGTAAGAAACACATAAATTACGCCGGGAAAAATAAAGATGTACATTGTAATATAAATATTATGTATACATCTTTCAAATAACGTTTCTTTAATTGTGAGCATTCCCAAACAATACAGTAATTCGCAATAGTAATATGTTGGTATATGATATCACGATCATTGCGTCTCTATTAAATTAAAAGAATATAATGTAGGCCCCTATGTGTGAGATATTCTTTGATTGACTATGAGCATTCCATACTAATGAATTCGCAAAATATAGCAACAACAAAAGAGAAAGGAAAAAGAGAAAATTCCTTTACCCTAAAAACTGGAAAGATAATTTGTTTAAAAAAAAAGTCCAATGGGACTCTTCATGGATTGAATTAACAGTTTGCAAGGGGTTAACCTTACATTTTTAGCAAAATTGGGAAAATATCAGATGTTTCTGGAAAATTGCAGATTCTATGGGGTTAACTTGGCATTTTTAGCAAAACTGGCAATATCAGATTTTTATGAAAATCTCCAATTGTAAGGGGTGAACCTTTCATTTTTAGCCAAATTGGGCAAACTCAGATGTTTCTGAAAAAAATTCAGATGGAAGGGGTTAACCTTGCTTTTTGAATAACGTTGGGCATAATTAGATGCTTATGAATATTTCAAATTGTAAGGGGTTACCCATGCTTTTTTAGTAAACATTGGGCACATTTAAATGTTTATGAAAAATTTCAAATTGTAAGGGGTGAACCTTGCATATTTTAACAAAATTGGGCAAAACCAAATGCTTCTGAAAAATTGCAAATTGTAAGGGGTTAACCTTGCTTTTTAAGCAAAATTGGGCAAAATGAGATTTTTATGAAAAATTTCAAATTGTTAGGGATGAACCTTGCATATTTTAGCATAATTGGGCAAAATCAGATGTTTCTTAAAAATTTCAGATTCTAAGGGGTTAACCTGGCTTTTTTAGTAAAAATTGGGCCAATTTAAATGTTTATGAAAAATTTCAAATTGTAAGGGGAGAACCTTGCATATTTTAGCC